GTCAATATTGTCATCTCATGAAGAAGAAAGGCTAGAGCCAGAGAACTGAAGTAGCTAAACAGCTTTGTACCCTGGAAGTGACTGGTAGAGCCTAGATTTGAAGCAGCTTTGTATAGGTCTGAACTAGGCTGAACCACTGCCCTTCATATGAGTTTGGAGCTGGAGTCCAGCTTTGTAGGATACAGAGTTTCTCTGGGAGCCTCCTTTTCCTGTTCTTCCTGACAGGTCACTAGCAGACCTCTGCCCATGTGGGTGGACCAGGCTCCTGGATGTCAAGTCCTGAGACAGCTCTGTGCTGCTTATAGCCTGCAGTAATGTGTTCTCTAAAGGCTTGGATGTCATTGTTTCTTGGCAATTTCTCTCTGAATCTGAAAGTGGCCTCAGACAGTCCACATCTTCCGTTGAGCCCATTCTGGGTCTTGCAGGGAGGGAATTGGGACAGTTTGTTCATTACCCAAAACAAGAGACAAGAAGATTTTTTGGAGACCAGAAGGCTCAAAGATAATGATTCTTAATATATTTCCATTTGGAAAGTCTTGTTGGAGAGATGCAATTGGCCATTTAATATTCACTTCTTGAGTCAAAGTGGATCCCAAGTCCCAGAGGCTTTTGTTTCTCAGGAGGTACCTGCAGATGCTCCGGAAGCTCTTTCTTCCTGCAATGGCTGCACCCTGGCCAGGTCACTGCCATACATGTTGCACTGTGTCCAGAGGTGTTTTGTGGACCATGGCTACTCACACCTCACTCTTTAACACTACTTAAACCTTGGGAATATTGTCAGCTATACATCAATGAGCTACAGAGATCAGGAATAGCTACCTACCTTGTGGTCAGGAGTAGTAGGTAGTAGAGAAGCTGTGGGTGCTTGGAGCCCATGGATACTTGGATGGGTTTGAATCTCTGTTCCACCATTGCTACCTCTGTGAACTCAGGCATGTTTCTTCAAAGCTTCCCTTCTCTGTGCCTCAGTTTCTCTATCTGGAAAACAGTGATACAAATATTAACCATCTCTTAGGGTTGTTTTAAGGATAGATTGAGTTAGCACTTGTAAAATGCTTACAAAAGTGCCTGTCATATACATAATAAGTACATAATCAGTATTCATTATTATTATTGCTGTTGATATTATTAATACCCTCTGGGGTAATAATTAAAGTTTGCATATGTATTAAGGATGGCTATTACAAGGTCTTCATAAATTGTCAGGTCTTAAATGATATATAATCTTAAAGACTTGGTTCCTTTATGGACGATCGAACTAGAGGAGAGGCACTATGAACAATTCAAGATAGTTGACCTCAAAGGAAGTATTTAGTGTCATCTTTGCAATTCCTAAATGACCAAATACCATCAGGGTTAGGAGTTGGAGCTTTTCATGGGATTTTAAAGTAATATAAGCTCTGAAATTTTCACTTTGCTGAGACTTTCTTTTTTTTTTTTCCTTTTTCTTTTATTATTCATATGTGCATACAAGGCTTGGTTCATTTCTCCCCCCTGCCCCCACCCCCTCCCTTACCACCCACTCCGCCCCCTCCCTCTCCCCCCGCCTCAATACCCAGCAGAAACTATTTTGCCTTTATTTCTAATTTTGTTGTAGAGAGAGTATAAGCAATAATAGGAAGGAACAAGGGTTTTTGCTGGTTGAGATAAGGATAGCTATACAGGGCATTGACTCACATTGATTTCCTGTGTGTGGGTGTTACCTTCTAGGTTAATTCTTTTTGATTGCTGAGACTTTCTTATTCATTCAGCAGTCTTTTGCAGATACCCTGGTTAAGCCTCAAAGTCTATGAAGGCTGAGGGGTTCAGTTTATCTATTTCATCCTGTCTTGGCTAGGTACAGGTACACACATTCACCTGTATGCACACCTATTGACACTCACACAACGCATGCACGTACAGTCTTTAAAGTGACATTGGCTGCTGTACATGGAACTTAAGGGATTTTACTCAGAAGTCTCAGTTTGAATTGGTTAATCTTGCATTTGCATATCTGTCAACCAGGTAGCAGGCCTAAAGTCAACTTTAATAAGAAACAAACTGCCATTCAGCTCCAAACTAGTGTTCATCCATCAGACTTTATTTTTAACCTTGGAGTGACAGCAGTCACCTGAACCAGGAGTCCCCAGGCAGTTTGCCTCTTCTGGAATCACACTGAAGTCTTCCCTGGCAGCCTCACTGCCAAGGAACTAATTGGAACACTGTTTTTCTTTTGTATGCTAGACAAGGAGAGGCCCCGGAAAGGCTGTCCTTCCAAATGACAGGTTCCCTTTGTGAGATCGGCCAACGGAGACCCAAGCTGAAAATGTCAGTAAAAACAAATAGTATTTCAAAAGAGTTTTGTGCATTTCCTTCCTCTTTTCTCATTGCCTCATCAACCAAGTGTTGCATGAGTGACTTGGGAGGATCCACTGGACCCAATAAAGAATTAACTGCATAAAACATTTTTTCTCCATTTCACCTACTTCTGTTGTTTGGATTTTTGCTAATGATACAAACAAACAAACAAAGAAAAATAGGTGATATTGGCTTATGTCTTTTCAAGGGCCACTTTTTATTTCTTCTTACTATTTTCAGAATCAAAGAATATAAAACAGAATTTTAGTGGTCAGAAACTCTTTTCTGGGTTTTATTAGCTGCTTCCTGATGTAGGAGAAAGTAGTTGTTGCCTGTAGAACTCAATAATAATGATACCTTCTTTGTCATCATGAAACAGTTATTTAGGTTTGCCCATCCTCTTTCTGCTACTGCTCTAGCAATATGATGAACAGACCCTTGGACACAAAGCTAGGTGACTTTTAGGTGAATTTTGGTGTTCATCACACCTGAGATGGAGTTCAAGCTCTGCCGATTAATAGCTGGATGACTTTGAGTTTAATGTGTAATTTTCCTGAGCTTCAGTCACTTTTAAGTAATACATAAAAACCAAAACTCACACAGAACCCCAAATGTGGGTACCTAGGCACACTGCTGTGAAAGATTTCCTCTCCCACTGCAGTCGCTCAGCCATGTAGAACAAAGTGGATTCAGAGGTTCAGATAGAAATGCTCACTTTTCTGAACCTCAATTTTCTTGTTGGCAAATAGAATTTTCCCAACATCCTCTGGGCTTTCCCAAGGGAGAAGTCTGGAGTCTGAGTTAAAGTTAGTTCTGTCTGACTTGAGACCTGGCTTTTAACTAACACAGAGTGGTACCTGGCCTGCCACTTGGGCCACTGTCTGGGACAATGTAAGTGTGTGTCCTTAGAGAAGGACCAGCACTGAAGTCCAAGGAAGCGCTCAGGGGGTATCAGTTTCACTGATACAGCCTCAATGACTTGACTTTTTTGGGTGAAATTCATTAAAATATATACTGAGGCTAATAGCATCCCAAAGAATGATAAGTTTCTACTCATGGTCTTTAATGTCTTTTGAGAGCATTACACAGGACCAGGTAGAACAGGATGATCTCTGGGTCCCCAACTCAGATTTCAGACTACTGTGTTTTATAACTCACCAAAGTCTTTATGATAAATAATTATTTACCCAGTTGATAGCAGTCAGGCTTCATTTTCAACACCATTAACTTTTGGGAGTATGGGTCAGTTACTATATTAAAAGTCTGTCTTGGGGAAATGTTTATGAGTCATTCATTCATTCAACAAAATATTTAATGAGCAGCTACTCTCTTGTCAGATACTGTTGTTGGGTGTTAGAGACACAGCTGCAAATAGGTACAAGGCCCTTGCTTTCTCAGAGCTGTCATTTCAGGCAGAAGAGACAACAATAAACAAATGTGCAAATAGATAGGTGAACAGGTTGTTATGAAGACAAAAGCCAGGTAAGGCAAGGAGGGGCTGGGGCTGCATAAGAGTGTACAGAGAAGGACTGTAAGCTGAGGGGTTGTGGAATTAAAAATATGAATGGTGAATATGAACCACCAATGGGACTCTTTGATGATGGAACATTCCAGACTGAGGGGAAAGCAGGTATGTGTTCTCAGATGAGAAGGAGCTCAGAATGCCTGATGGAATTAAAGGAAAATTTGTGTGTGGACTAGGACAAGCCACTTCCAGGCTGAAAGAAGAGACTGGAGCCAGATTGTGTTGGTCTTGATCATAGCAAGGAAATTTATTCTGGGTGCAGCCAGAAGCTGTTGGAGGTGTAAGCCAGGGGGCAACAGTATTTGATCATGGGAAAATATAAGACGAAGTGGAAAAAAAGACTTCCAAATATACACTCACATATTTACCACTATTTCAACTGTGCAAGCATATGTGTGTGTATTGTGTGTGTGAGTGTGTGTGTATATATTCAGTAAACAAACTGTAGGAAGATACAGAAAAATGCTGTGGTTTTCTTAATGGTAGACTTGTTTCCCTCATTACTTCCCTACATTTTGAAAGTTTTCCATTTTCCACGAGTTTGTATTGTATTAGATAATATGCTTTTTAAAGGAACTTTGTGTGTAACAACTGGTGGAGAATCAGTAAGACTGAGGGTGCTTTTCCGATTTGAGCTTTATGGGCTCTGTCAGTAGAGAGGTTTATTTTTTTGGCAGCATTTGAGGTTGAACTCAGTGCCTTGTGCTTGCAGGCAGGTGCTCTATCACTTGAGCCATTCTGCTGGCCCTTTTTGTGTAGTTTATTTTTGAGGTAAGGGTCTCATTTTATGCCTGGACAGGCCTGAACTGTGAGCCTCTTATTTGTGCTTCCCAGAGCAGCCGGGATGACAGGCATGCCACTGCACCCAGCCATTGTTTGAGATGAGATCTTGCAAAATCCCCCCTCCCCCACATCCCAGTCCTGTCGCGTGCCCCCCATCCCCCTCCCCGGGCTGGCCTGGAGCTGATATCCTCCAGATCTCCACCTTCTGAGTAGCTAGGATTATAGGCATGAGCCACCACGCCCAGCTTCTATTTGGCTTTTTAATGTCTTTCCTAAAGTGAACTTCTTACCATTGAGTCATCTTTATGCAAATTATTTGTGCAAAAGAATCTAACATTTCTGTTTGATCCCACAGATTTGAATATAACCTGCCGCTATGCAGGTGTATTCCACGTGGAGAAAAATGGTCGCTACAGCATCTCTCAGACGGAGGCGGCTGACCTCTGCAAGGCTTTCAACAGCAGCCTGCCCACCATGGCCCAGATGGAGAAGGCCCTGAGTAAAGGGTTTGAGACGTGCAGGTGAGAGGGGGTCACTCCCACTGGGTAGGCCAGGGACCTGCGCCCAGGGGGCGGGGCTTAAACTGGAAGTCCCCTCCCTGACAGTTGAATGGATTATTGCCTGAAGAGGCTGCCCCACCTATTAATTTAGCCAAGTCAATCTGGAACCTGTATGACAACTGGAATTTAAAGTCGGCTAAAGACACCTTTGTGAATCATAGAGAGGGAGGCGGAGGAAGCCATTAAGGGTCATATCGGTTGCAATCCTCTTGCCTAATGTGCTCCCACAGTGCTCTCCCGGCTTTGAAGCCGCGTTCAGTATCGTTGTCGGAACCACAAGAAAACGTACACCAAATAACAGTGTTTAAAATAATATGAGGCTGGCAGAGTCTTGGCCTTGCAGACTTGGCCCAAAACCCGTTTTTCAAACCTCTCTCCTCTCCCCTCTTCTCTCTCCCCTCTCTTCTTCCTCCTCTCACTACTCTCCCCCCCTCCCCTCCCCTTTTCTCCCTCCTTCCCCCCTCCCACTCTCCTTTTGGTTTCTCTACTGCATTACTCTGGTTTGAGAAAATAAATGAAAGGGCACGCAGGTTTTTCAGTTATATTATATTAAGATATATGTTGTTATTAGATGCTTTCTCGGGGTGCACCCTGCACTCCACAGAGCTTTCCTCAAGCCCTTTTGCTCCAGGATAATCACAACAGGCAGGGGCTTTTTTTTTTTTTTTGTCCTGTGGTAAGTGGTGCATAGGAAGAACAAGCCCTGGTGACGACCACAGTGGAGTATTTGGTTTGGTTCGCTTTCACTAGAGGAGTCTTCATACTTTCAATAAGTAATTTGAAGTTTCCACTCCAGACTGCAACTTAAGCGGTGTGTTTCCCCTCTCCTCTCTCTTCAATGCACATACAGACTGCTTTCAGAAAGCTAGCTGCAGCAGTCATTACGGAAACCATTAAATGTAAGTTAAGTGCATCTATCCTGCCCATGGTCACAGAGTCAGACACTCACTCTGTGAGTGGTAGCTGAGATTCTTGTCTGGAAAGGGAGGAACATCTTTAGTCCAAAATGGCTTTGTCTACTGTGATAGCAGTTAGCCACATATGGTGATTTATTCTTAAGTTAATTAAAATTAAGTAATATTAAAATGAGTTCTTCATTGGCACTAGTCACTTTTCAAGTTCTCAATTAGCTGTTGTATGATATAGATTGTTTCTAGAACATTTCCAAAGATAAAGTTCTCTTGAGCAGTGCCACTCTAACACAAAGAACAGATGTTTCTACACATCTATATGTAAGTGCTCAGAACTAGGTCTGGGAGAATGGTAAAGAAAGAAGCAGAGGAAAGTAGACAGCTCTGGTAGCTATTGAATCTGAGCTGTAGGCTGCAATGAAGGACAGCCAATTAGCAAATCTGTTTATTCGATTCTCGAGGCTAATTGTTTAAGTTTGGCTGGGACTAGGCCACTAGGCTAAGAAAGTGGATTTAGTAAGCTGAGTTTTGATTATGAAATACAGACAAGGCGTATTTGCAAAATACTGACAGCTGGGGACAGAGTTCTCACTCTTGCTGATAGATGATCGTGGAGCACTGAGGTGCTGGGTGCTGGGAGTTCAGTCACCCTCTTGGCTCCATCCCTTCATTGAATCCTTAACTTGTCCTGTGGCTCACTGTTACTCCACTTTATGGAAGAAGCAACTGAGACCTGGGTAATTTTCCCACCTTGTCCTGGATCATAGAACTTGCACGTGGAAGAAGCTGGATTTGCTCCTCTTTCGTGTGAACCCAGGGCCATCTTAATGATCATGCCTTCCCAAGGGACTGAGGGCAACAGGGGAGGGAAGTCTGCTGCATGGATTTGCAACAGATTTTTTTCCTCCCAATGAACAATAACCTACTCATGCCACATACAACTTTAATATCCCCATTTCATGTATGGTACAAACACTATCCTATGAGAATTCATAGTAACCTATGAAGGGAAGGTATTAGATTCTAGAATGTCGGTGTTATACATACTTGTCAACATGATGTGATGGGGTAGGGAGAAGTAAGTTCAGCCAAGAATATTATTTAGAAAAAAAGAAAAACCATGCCAACAAAAATCTATCATTTTCACCTATAAGTGGTACTGAGTGTTGCAAAACTCACTTCCATATCTTCCCTCAGGTAGCTGTGAATCAGATATCTGCCACAGGACAGATGGCAGAGCCTCATAGGCTAGGTTAAAACCTCAGCAGCTACTACTCTTTTGTCTGCCCCACCCTGATTAGTAGCAATTCTCAGACTCATGAAAACTTATTAACATTTAATTGTGCCCCTTCCCCCCACCAAGCTGAGACTTTGGGGAAACCAGTTTGCCAGTTTAGATGAAGAATTAGTCATGTGAACTACCATTGCAACATAGACATAAGGAGTTCTAGGACCTAAAAAAATTCACACACTTTTCCATAGGTCTTGCAAGGAGATGCATTTTGTGCCATTTTCCTGCCAGGATAGATTAAAAGGATCTACACAGTGCATTTTAGCCAGCATTGCATTTTCAAAAATCTGCTGGATTTTACATCTCCCTCTTTGCCCTTCCACACCACCACTTCTTCCTTTGCAAGTGATATTTTCTCAGCCCACATCTCATTTTTGTCACACATTTTATATTTGGGGGAAAAATGTGTCTTAAGTGAGTATCTAGCCATTAGGATGCTTCTAGAAGAGGCTAAGCTCTGTGCATTGTATTGGAAAGGGCCTCCATGAACTCCAAGGGTTATAACATACTCCCAGAAACATCTTGATGGGCAAAGAACAGCAGACATTTTTTTTTTCCTGTCTGTGCTGCTTCTGGAACATTCCTGAACTAAATGAACCATTGCCATCTACTTAGTTAATTGCTGTTACTCTCATTTTAATGATGGTCAATTTATTTCCACTGGTGATAGAATTATGCCTGAGATGCTTGGGAGGCCAAATTTGCTGTGCTTTTGGCATATAAACAAGGCTTCATGTTTGAAATAATGGAGGGGTTTGAGGGGCTCACAGGAGAAGTTGAGGCCAGCAAAGAAAAGCGGCAGATGGAAAATAAGGCAGGTCTGAAATTTTTGGACTGAAATAAAGAACCACCTCTTCCCAGCTTATGGGAGTAGATCATTTTATGTCTTTTTTGAAAAATATAAAGGTAAGTGAGTACTAGGGTGAAGTTTACATTATAACATCTCTCTTCTGTGACTCAGTCTTCCTTCTGCTTTTTCAAGCCATCTTGTCTCTAATTTCTGACCACAAATTTCATTTGGAACTATTTTCTTTCATGATTTTTTTATTTAAAAAAAGAGAAGAAAAAACTGTTCCTGTGTCTTTAAGTAAAATCACTTTGTCTCTCTCAGCCTTGATCTCTTTCTGTCCCCTGTGCTATTGGATTTCAATAACTCAGTTGTTGAAACTTCTCTAGGGGTGAATGGAATGAAGTGTTGTGCTACATTGAATGCCATTTGGTGGGATATTATGAAACTCCCATCCTGGTCTTTCAGGTCATAACTTCTTGCTTCTTCTTGGCAGGTACGGGTTCATTCAAGGGCACGTGGTGATTCCCCGGATCCAACCCAACTCCATCTGTGCAGCCAACAACACAGGGGTGTACATTCTTACCTCCAACACCTCCTACTATGACACGTATTGCTTCAATGCTTCAGGTTGGTTCTAAGGTTAGATAGCCTTAGTGTTGCCTTTGCAGCTGACTAGCTGACAGTTATTCATCCTAGAGTAAGTGGGGATTCACATAGCTTCCATTCACCTAACAAGTGCTCACTGAAATTTCTCAATAGTAGAGACAAGATTCCTGTTTCTAAAGTGCTTATGTGCTAGGATGGGGAGGCAAACAATAAACAAATATCAAATATCAGAAAGTGATGTAAGTGCCATAAAGAAAGCAAAATAAGAGGATTGAAAAGAGCGAAGCATGCATCCTTTTTTTCCGAGAAGGTAGCCAGGGAATATACCTCTGAGGTGGTATATTTAGGAGAGCCTAGATCAAAGTGAAGGAAGGAAGCCATGTGCAAAAGGGGCAGCCAGTGGAAATCCATGCATGCAGGAGTACCTTGTCCTGTTCCAAGAACAGCAGGAAGAGTGGTTTCAATCCATTGACCAGTATGGAGAATGCTAGGGAATGAAGTCAGAGAGGGAAGTGAAGACCAGATCATGTAGGGCTCTTCATTCTTAGTGAGGTAGGAAATCACTTCAGTTTTGAATAGAGCAATGACATAAATCTAATGATGGCTTGAGGGTGCAAGTCAAATGGCTTAACTGAGTACTCATCATATCGGGGGCTGGAGAGAAGGCTAGGAGCATACATGATAGGTCCATGGTCTTGCTGAATATCACTTACCCCATAGTTGAGACAAGTAGAGAACAGAAAGTTAAGTGAGGATGGAGATCCTGGACTGCTGCCAGACTCCTTCCCTGTCTACAAACTTTTTTCCAACCACTACCTTAGAAATTCATGCTCACAAGTCTAATTCAAGCCCCAGAAAAATTAAAGAATTTGATGCATCATCAGCCTTCAGGGTCTTTTGAGAAGATCAAAACCATAAATGTCAAATTTTTTAGCATGTCAACAATCGAAAGCCTCACTTCTCAAGGTGAGCCTTCTGTTTCCCTGAAGATCTGAAGCTGAGTGAAGAGAAACTGGGTGTAGTGAAGTGAACTTGGTGTATCTTCTTGGAGTGTCAGTTTTTCTTGACAATGGAGGGGGATGTTAAATTAGCTGAAAAGTCACTTAAGACATTATTTCCATGAAACAAACAACAGAGACATTATAGATAGATAGATAGATAGATAGATAGATAGATAGATAGATAGAGATAGATGGATAGATAGAGATAGCTAGATAGAGATAAATAGATGGATTGATAGCTAGATAGAGATAAATAGATGGGCAGATAAAGATAAATAGAGATAAATAGATGGATAGATAGATGGAGATAAATAGATAGGTATACATAGATAGATAGGTAGAGATAAATAGACAGATAGAATCCCATGTACAATTGCATATGGTGGTAGAATGTAAAATCTGTGTCTGGGATTTTAAGCTAAAGAAGGGACATCAAAGACATTGTAAGATTACATTAGTGGCTTTAGGGTGTGCCATGCACCCAATTGTTCCATTAGGAGTAAGGATCAGAGTAGGAATTCAGAGAGGAAATCTAGGGCTAAGGAGAAAGGGAAAGTATTAGGCCTGGATAGTTGGAATGGAGTATATGAAACCAGTGAATTATGTTAGATGTGTCCAGGTCACTAACCTATGGAGAGACAGACAAAACAAGGAGAAGAAAACTATAGAATGTCTACTCCTCCCTTGTTATATGAGCACAAACACAAAAGGAATTTGATCAATAGGGAGTACATGGTCTAACCCCCAGAATATCCATCTTAATGATGTTCTAATGAGCCAAAGCACATACTTGGATAAACAGGAAATAGACATGAAGCCTCATGGGGTCTAGTGTACTCCATCTTGGTGCAGGAGGTCAGAGGTGAAGGACTTGATCAAGAGACGAAGGACTGGTATGATCCTCCTGCTCCTCAGAGTCTCTGGGCCCTGCTCTTGCTTCTTCTGCTGAATCTTGTCCAAACGTATGGAATAAATTATGTGGTTGGGTTCCCACATCTTGCCTGTTTTACAAGATAGTGTTACCTTGAATTAAGGTTTTGAGAACCTTAATTCAAAAAGGCAAAAGCTCACACTGCTTTATGGCCTAGAATTGAAGCATTCCAGACAAGCATTTCCCAAGGTTTTGCTCCCTGGCCCTAATTTTGCCCATTATGTTGGATCTATCCCGCAAACAGGTGGTCAACAGCATTCACTAACTTTCCTCTTTTTAGAGAGGGGGTGTTAGTTCACTTAAAAATCTTGAGAAATACTGGAGGTGTATTTTATACCAAAACGATTTTATTAAAGTAGTAATCTTTTTTCCTTTTCTCCATTTTCCACATTGGCGAAGATTGATAGACTTCTTTTTTAAAATAAGTTTTAAGTTTAGAGAGAGCATTTACTAGGCAAAGTAGGGCTAAGAAAGAGCCGGAAACTCTGTTTCTTATCTTAAAGGAATTAGAACTCCTGTTGAATAAGAAAACAAAGAAACTAGAGGTGAGGATAAATATGGCTAAGCTTAAATACATTCTAAATGTCTTGGTTTAGAGTCAGATGATGGGGTATTTAGTAAGCTGAAGATCTTGATAACTACCTGTTCCATGCACAGAATCTCTTGGAAAGATCTTTGATTTCAACCTCACTTGAGAACTACAACCAGGTAGTCAAGTCCTAGTGGTAGAAATCTTCCATAAATTGGCTACAGGGACAAAAGCCAACTGTATTTTAGCAGATACCTTCTGTAAACTTAAAATCTCAGTAGTGTTTCTGTGGCTTGTAACTAAAAGAAAAACAAGTCAGACCCTGGGAAAAAGGCTTTGTGATTTTTTTTTACTGCCACTTCTCTCAGCAATTAGGGTCCCTTTATGAACCTTGTCACTTCTGTGTGAAGTACATAGAGAATCGACTAATTCAAGTTCATTTTTAAGTTTACTTTCAGTAAAATGTCTCCTTCTTGTCCAGAGGTAGAACTATGGGGCAGATTTTACATTTGTTTACCCATTCAAGCATGTATTAAAAATTGTTTGGCAATATTTATGGGATACACAAAATGCATCAATTCTGGGGGAAAGTGCCTTTCTATCTGCCACCCAGACATCAATGGCTAGTCTGAATAATTGATGTGTCTCTGGGCCATTTTGGGGCAGTGAAGCCAAGGTTTCTGAGTGTAGCCTACCAGGAAGTATCTCTTTAACAAAGCTTTAGGCTCAGGGACATTCTCAAAACAGTGCAGTGCTTATTAGAGAGGGTGAACAGCTATCTAATAAGGCTTCATGATCTGACATGGGAGCATGAATATATTAATTGCACATTTGGGTCACCATCCATCTTGGTACCCTTGTCAGATTTGATGTTCTTTATAAATTTTAGGTGAAATAGAGCATGATGGCGTCTGTGGAACACATTATCATTCACAAAACTGTTTCAGTGTTCCTGACATGCCCGATCCCATGACAACCTACCTCCTGGAAATTACCAGTGCACTACTCTTACCTGCCTTTGTTCTTGAATTTTGGGGAGCGCCATGTGCCAGCCAGGCATCAAGAAGCCATAATCCAAAACCCATTTCTGGATATGGGCAACATACAGAAGGGCTCATAAATTGGGACATATTCTGGTGGCATTCCTAAGAAACACGTTAGATACCTCCAAAATCTCCCTGACTAGCTATATGTCCTCATTTTCAAATAAGAAAATTTTGGATATTTTTCTTTCAAAACTATAAAGAGGTAAAGAAATAGTACTTGTTTCCTATAACCTTGAGAATTTCTCAGAAGCATGGACAGAAATGTGTCCATCTTTTTTCTACATTTTTCTTATATAGCTTGGCATATAAATGTTGAGAAAAGCTTAAAAGGAATCAACAAGCACCTGTGCTGTCACTTACTTTCATTGTTTCTATGGCATTAACATCCAATGCTTATCTGCTGCTCGTTGACGGGTTTATATTTGCAGACAGTTTTGAGGGTTAATCCTTAGGTATGCTTACTGGAACAATTGGTACTTTCTCTGATCAGGCAAACTCCCTATTGATTATGTTATTTTAATCTCCAGATTGTCATGCTGTTTGTGTCTGCCATGTTTTTCATCATTTCTGTTGGTATCTGAGATTATAAATGATTTTCTCATGATAATTCATATATTTCTTTTTAAAAAATTTTACATATTGCTTTTACAATAGAAAAAAAATTTAACCCCTATAATGGTTGTTTTACTAGAGAAGGATTCATGTCTATCTTATTCACAAGTAACTCCCAGACTTTCCACTATGCCTGATACATATATTTCTTAATTAATGAGATGGTTGGGTAAGGATAGTAAGTTTCCAAAACTTTTGAAGTTAAACAAAAATGGACAATGTATCATGAAAGGACAAGAAAGTTCCTCAAGCACTTACCAAGTTTCAGGAAAAAGAAATTATTTGGGATAAGTTATAATAAAACCCTGTCCTGAGTAATAGAAATAAGGACACATTTTTGCTCAAACTTTTTTTTTAATTTTAATGCGGTTTTTCCTCTTCTCTATAGCTCCACTTGAAGAAGAAGACTGTACCTCAGTCACAGACCTGCCCAATTCCTTTGATGGACAAGTTACCATAAGTATGTATCTCTTGTATCTCTTTTCATGTTGGTTAAGTTTTTCCATTCTGAGGAAAGTCATCTGGTGTGTTCTCTATGGTTTATATTTGAATAGAATGTTAGTCATTTCCCTAGGGGTAGGGAAGGTTGGCTGTGATTCAGTGTTTCTTCCCCTTTTTCTATGATGGCTTGAAACTCCTCTTTGGTTTACCCCAAAGTACTTTTCCTCAAACTTCAGTCATTTGAAAGCCACTTTCAAATGACTTGGGCCTAGCCTGTGTACATATAAACTTATCATTTACTTGATATTTTTTATGTAATTGACCCATTCTCTTCTACTTAAAATTCATTTATTTTTTAAAAGAACTTCAAATGAAAACCAATAACACTTGTCATAAATAGAAGATAACCTTAAAAAGCAACTTAACTCTGAAAAAAAATAAACAACATCTTTAACTTCTAGTTGCTGAAGGCTGTGAGCCTGAACCATGCTTTGTCTTGTGCAAAGGAGTTAAGAAGTGTTAGCGATAAGGGCATTCTGGCTCCAAATGGGGATTTTCTATTTGATATAACTGGATTATTGAAAGATAATTATGAAGGGTATAAACTTTCCTGTATGTGTTTCAACATTAATTTACACCACACACATCTCAAATCATCTTGATTTTCCACAGAAGAATGCATATGGTACTTCTGAAAATGGGAATTACCAACCAGAACTTTCAAATAGGTCAACCTATTATGAACCCTGATCTTATTCCTGTAAGGTTCATTTCTTTGGGAAATAGCACAGTGTTGAGGAGGGCTGATTTCTGCTTCCTCAGAGCTAGACCACAGCAGGATGCATGAGCATGGTCGTAGTAGCAGTGGGATGAGAACCTTCCTAGGCCATCCAAATCCAGCCTTCCACTGTTACCTTGCAATGGGAAGGGAGACTTTACACTGATCACAATGACTGCAGTGTGAAATGTGATGTATAAATCAGGTTTGGTTTGAAATTCTTTTTCTTTACCACTTGTGTGATCTTAGAGGAATGACTTTTTACAAGCCTCAGTTTTCTTGAGCCTCAGTTTTCTCCCATGTATAAATGGCATAACATACAAGAATTGTGATGAAACCTGAAAAATATAAAGGGGCTAATGCTTACTTGACTTGTAATAGATGCTCAATAAATGCTTAATTTTCTTGGTTCTCACAGATCTCTTTCAAAGTCCAGATTTGTATGAATGTAGTCATGCTATGGTTTGAATATGTCCCCCAAAAGTTCATGTGTGGGGAAACTTAATTCCCAAATTCACATGCTAATGGTATTGAAGGTGGGCTTTTGGGATCTGGGGTCCCCATGATGGCATTAGTAGCTTTATAAGAAGAGGAAGAGACTTGAGTTGGCATGCTTGTGCTGTCTCACCATGTGATACACACTTCATATTATGATGGAGCAAGAAGGTCCTCACCAGATGCCAAGCAGATGCTGCTGCCATGCTCTTGGACTTCCAAGCCTCTAGAACCATGAGCCAAATGAACTATCTTTCAAAATAAGTTTCCCAGTCTCAAGTATTTTGTTACAGCAGTAGAAAATAGACTGTGACAGTCAATAATCTTTTCTTACTGTATCTTCATCTGCAGAGAGTATTAAGGTGACTGAGATTTTAAGGTTTTTTTAATATTTTATTAATGGTTCCACTTGAACAAGCTAGGTAGGTGGACAAAAGAAATCTTTAGTTCCACCAATGTCATTCAGCAGAAAATAATTTCAGCCAAATGCACATGTGTGTAGTGAGTGGCTCATAGGGAAGGGAATACTTTTTAGGGAGGAGAATGAACAAATTCATTTGTGCATTTTCTCTTCTGCTCCATTCTAGTCCTTTGTTTGTTTATACCATAGATTTTGGTCTTTATATGTATCAGTGCTTGTTAAATTTAAGGTTGATTTTCACAGAGGATGGCAGGGGCTCTGTCAATATTTAGAACCACTTATGTCCTAGTTAGGAGTGGGGGTTTGGTTAAACTGACAAAATTCACCCTTAAGAGAGAAAATCTGTTTCTTTATGGGTTACAAATATATCTTCTTTGTAGAGGTTATTTGTCTGATGTTTCAAATCCTTTATGGAAATGGGTGGAATTAACAGCAACAATCTTCTATGTATTTCAGAAGATTATCATTTATTGAGCATCCAATATTTTGAATACTGTGCTGAAACTTGAGTTATAATATGTCACATAGGCTTGCAACAACCACATCCATGGGCAATATTCTCACCTTACTAATGAGGAAACTGAGGCTTAGAGGTTCCCTTATACAGAGGTACATGAAACTCAGATTATCAGATAGAGTGATTCCTCAGCACCTCTTCTTTCTCTTCCTCATTTCCGGGGAGTGGGGGAGAATGTACTTTCTCAGAACACAGTTCCTGTATCTCACCACTAGTTAGGTAGCCATTCTTAATACAAAAGAAAATAGTTTCAAAAAAATTGTATCATAATCCAAAGTCTTTCTTCTTCTTCTTCTTCTTCTTTTTTTTTTATTGGCAGTACTGGGGTCTGAACTCAGAGCCTCACGCTTGCTAGGCAGGCCCTCTACACTTCAGCCATTCTGCCAGCCCCCAAAGTCTTTCCAAAATATATCTACTGTGAAGTTCTGAAAGTGCTTCTCTCTCCCCAGCTATTGTCAACCGTGATGGCACCCGCCACAGCAAGAAAGGGGAATACAGAACACACGAGAAAGACATCAACTCCTCCCTTCTTATGGATGAAGATACAAGCAGTGGATCCTCCAGTGAGAGGAGCACTTTGGATGCTTACATCCTCCCCACCCGCTTTCCAACTGCACACCCAAACCCAGACCAAGACAGCATGTACGAGAGTACCACAGCTACCAGTAAGAGAACGAGTCACTGTGATTTCCAATTGCAATTCTTTGGCAAGATGCCTGTGATCTTCCTGAGTGATATGCACTCCAGTGTTGATTTTCTCCTGTCTCTAGACACCTAGACATAGGTGACATCGGGTGGGGAGGAGGTGCCTATTAGTGCTCTGTATGCATTGACTACTCTGCCTATCATTTTTTTCCCCATCTACAATTCTGTTTTTCTTCCCTTGAGGTAAAAAGTACTGTATCAGAAGGATATTTTTTATTTAAAAGAACACCACTTATTCTCTGGTCCCTGAGGATATGGTGATCACTCAAGACTGGTACAGAAACAATTTTCACTTTCACTTGTTTCTTTCTTGTTCTTACTCACCATGGGTAAGATTGTTTTTATAAAATTAGGATTATAGACTATGTATTCCATTCCATGGACTTCTTTTTCCACTCAAGTTTATATTTTTGTGTTTTAACCTGATTTATTCTCAAGTTATTGGTTGTCTAATATTTGATCACATTCATCAACCACAATTTACCAAAACATTCCTTTGTTTTGGGTTTGAGGAAGCATATCTAGAGCTTTCTGATCAAATTAAATCAGCTATATTCCTTCCCATTGGGGAAGGTCCTTGATGCTCATTTGGTGTATGGGGCTTATTCATTATTTGGGCCTGCAAGAGGGGAAAGATGTAAACACTGGCTTTGGGTTTGTGCCACTGGGTTCCTTTGGAAAGTTCCTATATCTCCCTCTAGCCTCCTTCTTTGCTTCCTTGTCTGCATTTCCTCTGTGGTTTGTTTTAAAACAGGTTTCCAGATCTGTGACCCCTCTGTAGAGGATTACTCAAACCCTATTAGGGCAACTAAACCTTGAGTGGATTTCCTAGTATGGTGTGGATTTTCTCTTTTCCTGGCTGCAGCTCCTGAGGGGGTGGAACTCTGGCTTCCAGACAACGTAACTGAAATTTACTGGTTTGCGAATACTCAGGATGGGGCCCTTTCTATTCCTTGTCACCCAGAAGCCAGGGAAACCTCCACAGCACTCTGACTTAATTTAGGACTGCTCAGTCAACAGTGTTTTAAATTTCCGTTAGCAGTTTGATATGGATAGGTTTGGGATTCCACTCATTCCTGACAGTCTTTGAAGCATTTCAAAAACAGCCAATCTGGTCAAACTGTTCAAGTTTTCTCTAGTTATTGGCTCTCTGGGGGTTGTATCTCCTTGTTTGTAAGTCTGGTGGGCAACATGTCTCCAGAAAAGCTTCTGGAAAACAAGCAGGCAGTGCTGCTGGCTATTTGCTGCTTCTTGAGTTCTTTGCACTTCTAAGGCAACCATGTTGAAGGTGCTCATCACTAGGGTGTGCAATTTTGTCAGGAGTTAGCAAACATAGTAATTAGTGGTCTCAGAAGGAAGAAGAACAGGTCTGACCTAAAGTCCCATTCTCCTCCATGGAAGAAAATTCCAACAAAATACATCTTGCATGGATTAGATGAGGTTAACATTCCCCTCGCTAATAGCCTAATAATGCAGTGAGCATTTCACATGTGCTTCAGGAAAAGCAATTAACACATGTTATGACCATCCTTAGCACATCTCCTGCCTAAGTTAGTCAGTTAGCAAATGTATATCGGGGACCTATTATGGACCAGTTCTATCCTATTCAAATGCTTGGGATCCAGTGGTAAGTACTGTTAGGAAGTGATGTTGAAGAGAAGTCAGGATGAATGAGATTTTCACTCACTCTGCCCACATTTGGAGGCTTTTCTGTGCCAGACACTGCTCTAGTTACTGGGGTTCAGAGCTGGGCCTGTCTTCATGGTTACAACATATTAGTTCAGAAATCAAGGAAAAGGAGTGTGAGACTTACCTAAAACATAGCCTAGGACTCCAGTAGAGAAAAGAATTATGCTTTCTTGCTATGCAACACTTAACTAAGTTTCTTAAAAAAAAAAAAAAAAAACCAGAATATTCATTTGTTTTGTTTGTAGATAGTATTATTATTATTGCAGTGCTAGGGATCGAACCTAGGATGTTGTATATTCCAGACAAGTGCTTTGTCACTGAGCTATACGCTCAGCCCCACCAAGTTCCTTTTAATAGTTAAGGGAGAGATTAATTGTCCACCAGGATGAGTCCAGGGTTAGACGGAGCATCGTTAAAGTGCCATAGGATTCAATATAGCAGCTCCAAGTAGATTCGTTCATGCAAAGAAGGGTATAAAAATGAACTCAAACCAAACCAAACAAACAAAAAACTCAAGGGAGAAACTTGAACGTTGTCTATAATATAATAGAAAGAGTTAACAGTGATAAGTTCTTGAGTAGAATTATATTTTCTAAGTCCAGGGAGGAAATTCCCAAGACCTTATCACTGTTGGTCTAAGAGTTGAGACATAGTGAGAGGAAGTGATTACAAATCCTCCATGGTTCATGCAAGGGTCAGAGATCAAGAGGAGGGCTGGCTGACTACATGGAAGAAGCCTGCCTTTGGCTTGACTCTCCTCCCTTCTTTCAGGGTCCTCAGTGGGTGGCAATAGGGGATACCAGCAAGAACAACCACCTGTGTAGGTTTGGACTTCCCACAGGCTGTTTATTATAAGTGTTATTTTTGGGAGAGCTGTGCTGGAGGAGTGTCATCAGCTCCGTCCTAGTGATGATCTGGAGTTCTCTGGAATCAAGAATCTAAACTCATTCAGGAAGCAGACTCCTGCCTTGGAACACTCTATTTCCTTGTCTTCTGGGTGTCAAATGATATTTTTGTGGCGGGGAGTTCTGGCATGGCCTACTTGGGTGGGGCAAATTGGAAACTGCTGGCTAGGCTGCTTTTTTCATTTTCCCCTCCTTATACAACTCCTTTCAGAAAGACAGAAATAATGCCTATTTTTATCTTTCTCTTGTCTGTTTATTTCCTGTTGCACTATTTTTTTTCCCAGTGTACTGTGGGGTGAGAGTGGCAGGAACTGTGCATGTTTACTAAAGTTTCTGTGGTGAGAATGAATGGGGTGTCTGTGGACTTTCCAGGGGGTGCTCATATTTAATGGATTAATTGTAAGTGAAATTAGCTCCTATCTTTCTGCTCTCTGTTCTGAACTAATGCATCCCTTAGAGCATAGACCACATTGTACCTGCTGTTGGCATTTGGCATGTAGAATGTTAAAATTTTTAACTGGAGCTCATGGACTTTTAATAGGTTCTATTAAGTATTCAAGAACCACCTGAAATAAAATGTGCAAAATTTTGAGAGTGTTTATGTATAGGGTCACTCTTTTGAGGACAAAGGGAATACCTTATATCAGATTTTCAAAGGGGTATATGATTTAAATTTTTTTTTAACCTCAGCTGGTTTAGAAATTTGTACTAATGATTCTTGCCATTCTGTTTCTGTAGGGAAAGATTGTAGACTCAAGTTCAACTTGAAAGTCAAATGACAGAGTTTTAAATTACAAAGTGTTATCATTAATCTTTCTGTAATTTGAGTAGCTAGTTCAATCTTTCTTTAATTTTGGTAGTTTTGTATATTTTCTGGAAACGTACTGAATTAGAATTTAAAGTGACCGTTACAGATGGAGACTTCAGAAAGCTTTATCTAATTACAACACTTTGAACCCATACCCTTTGAAAAGTTCTTGATCACATATAAAGTTTACTTGAATTTGATGAGTGTGGGTAGAGCTTTGAAGCACCAGTTGTTACAAATGACCTTGATACAATGCTAGACAGACCCCAAAAATATGAATCAATATCCACAACTCCACAATGATCCTCCAAAGGTAAATGAATGAAAGAAACTTTGTGCTATGCTGTGTTGAAGACCTTCTGTTCATGGCAGAGTTACCCAATCAAGAAAGTAGCAAATTTCAGGCTAGGGTGTGTGGCTCAAGTGGTAGAGCACCAGCTTTGTAAGTTCAAGATCCAGAGTTTAAACCTGAGAATTGCCCAAAAACCCCACAAAAGTAGCAAATCTCCTTTAATTGAAGAATTAAGTTCCTGCTTGACTTTGTTCTGATCATGATTTCAGGTGGTTCAGTTTAAAGACTGAGAATTATTGGATTGATATGCATACAAATTTGCATTTATGATATAGTCTCAAGATTTTGGGAGATGTTAGGAGGTTGGAAAGATAAAACTAGAGACCTCCATTTCTCTTTGCTAATCTTCTTCCTATAACAAATACAGATACTATACACAGAATGAAGACTATAGGTTTTATAGAGGGAATCTTACTAAATGATATTTTCATAATTGATCCAGTTACCTCAACTGTGCACTCAAACAGCCATGCAGCAGCTCAGGAGCAAAGTAATTGGATGTGGTTTTGGTTTGGTAATTCACAACCTAAGACTCAGGATCTCCCAACAACAGCAATCACAGGTAAACTATTATGTCTTTTGCTTATCCTTTGTCCAGAATGCCAGGTCTTTTAGTGTCGAGGAGGATGTCTGTTAGCACACCAAAGTTTCCTATGGATGCTCCTCAGTCTCCTTAGTGAGGGCAGGGTCTGGTATCGTTTTGCCTATCATCATGGCCTGTGGGTCTGGGGGTATGATAAAATACTCCTAAATGCCCTGTTTTCCTTTTGGCAACAAGGACATAGAATCAGAATTGCTTTCCCTTCAGAGCTTACACAAGGAGATACATTCAGATGTTCTCTGGAAAGATGTCTATTAGAAGATGCACACTTCTGTTTTCTGCTGACTGAATTATCACAGTCAGTAATAAAAGCAGGAAATGCTGACTTACATATAAAAAGTGTAGGCCCTGGACACTTGTTTGGCTCTTAAAATGTTTCCTATAAGTTACAGGAAATGACCTGCTGATCTACGTCAAAGTCTAGATCGTTAACAAGCTTCTGGATATTTAGTTCTTATCTCTAAATTCCTGCTAAGTATTTTGAATTGAGGGCTTTGGTATGTGGAGAAGATTCAGTCCATAATAATTGGAGATGACAAACATCTTAATTTATTAACTTTCATTGATGGATGACATGGCTATATTTCAAAATAAATAAGCTTCTTTTTCTGCTGAGAGGAGTAATTAATATGGAAAAATGGTCCTTTACATTTGCTTATCTTTAAGACATTGAATAAACTATATTCTATCCTTACAAGTAATCGTATAAGGAAAACAGTGTTGATATCATGTATGATGGCTGTGTCTTAGGTTAAAATCATGCTGAAGTGGGAGGGGGGAGAGAGTATAGAATAAAGAAAATGCTGATTTTAAATGCTTATGTTTATCTTCATAGGACAAATGTGTGAAGGAAAAGATCTTTGGGCCTATTACTTCTTGGATCATTTCTGTGCTTTCTTGATAGCTGCAAAAAATGTCTCTCACTTCTGTATTTGGAAGTTTAATGATGGTTTCAGCTTTTCTGCTTGAACTTGCCCTTGCTTTTTGTCTGCTATTACCTAATATTCTTCTGGTGTACATCACGGTGGTAGAAATGGCAGTCTTCCGAAGTTTCTTAATCAAGAGTCTTGATTCTGGTCTTAATAGTGGGATCATCTCTGTTTGTCTTTCCTGGTTTATTATACTATTTTCAAAAAATGGGACTCAAATGGACTGTTCTGCTTTGCACAATTTGGTGGTGATAGAAAAATGACCAGGGAAAGTTTACTAGGGGATTTGGAGTCTAAATGGAGAAAAGTGAAAAGGTATTTTCTTTAATCTTCTACTTTATGTGTCATTCTTCCCTGTGTTTGGGTTTCCTGGGATTATCTGTCTGTGACTTCCGGCAGAAATATCATACACTAATTTTCTCGGATGATGATATTTGTTGACCAACATGGATTGTATAGAAGGTTAAAGGGCTAGGACTCTAAAAAGCTGAGTTTTAGAATCATGAATGCTCAGATTTGGAGGATCTTAAGTGGGGGAGTTCAATAAACCCTTCTAATCATTTGATCTCTTACACAGCTTTCCTGCCAAAAGATCTCCAGATAGTGGGGGGTATATTTTATGAAGAAGTTAATTACTGGACCATTCAGATTATTCCTTTTTTAAATCTAGCATTTGAAAGAACATCCATAGTTCTGAAATACTCATCACAGGTCCTAGTTTGGCCTCATAGGAGAGGAGACAAAAATTTCATCACTCTTTTACATTACAGACTCAAAATTCAAAGACAACGCTCACAGCCTCCTTGAGGCCTTTCTGTGCTAATCAGCCTTCAGACTTCAAACACATCAGAAGCTCTGTCCAGCACAAATTTTTCATCTTTAAGATGAGAAGCTTAAACCACATGACATTTAAGGTCCTTCCATCTCTGACATTTTATGAATTCTAGTTTGGGCCTTTGAAAGAAATGGGAGCTTTTCTTTTTCTTTCCACCATCTATATTGGGTAAAGATGATTCTCTCGAGTTATAAAAGAGTGAAAGCATTTACAATGCTATTTCTTAGGAACTGATAATTAACCTTTCAACAATCAATTCAATCATGGTTACAACAGCCTTGATGACCACTATTGGTACCACTCCTGAAACAGCAACCAAGAGGCAACAAGCCCAGCCCTGGCTTTCATGGTTGTTTCAACCATTAGAGTCCAAGAATCATCTTCCCACAACAACAAAAATGGCTGGTAATGAGTTCTATTGTCTCATATGTTTTCTTGACAGTCTTTAATAATTTGCACTAACCTAAAAGTCTAAAGTCCACTCTGGTCTCACAAATATTTGTGATGATTTAGAAAGGACTGTGAACTTTGAGATCAATATGCTTGATTTTACAACTTTAATATTCAGTTTTCTTTTTCCTATTCTATTGAATTTATATAGCCAGGAGGAGGGTAATTTGGAAACCAAAATGGAGGAGGCAGGTCTTTCTTGACAACAGAACAAACTTTCAAGTCTGAAAGAGTATTCATGCATATTCTAAATTTACCAAAGTCATAAGAAAAAAAACTCTTGACTTTTTAAGAGAAAACAAAGGAGCATAGCTAGAGCTAACAATATTTTAAAACCTTTCATCAATGGAATTATTCTTGGGATGGACACTAATAGTCCATCTTATGGTCATTCCATAAGATAGCCTGAATCTCATTTGAAAGTTAGAAAACCCCTTTTTAGAAAAGAAGCATCTTCTGCAGTAACCTCTGAGAAGAGGTTAAAAGTTTCCATCTCCTCTTCTATGATTGCATCAAAAGTGTCAAAATCTGAACTTCAGCCAATTTTCATGAAGTGTTTGTGGTAATTGCAGCTTTGATTCCATTTTTACTGAAGCTAAAGAAGATTTAAAAACGAATGAGCAAATTCTGAATGCCATGGAGGATTTTAGAAATGATGAATATAGGTTAGATTTCAAGGTTTTTCTGAAGGTGTCTTGACAAAACAAATAGGGACACATGAAACCTTTTATTCTATTCTTGACATCCTACGCCTAATGAGCTAATAAGAAATATATCTGAAAACATGGGGGAGCGTTGATTAATTTTGTTTTTTTGTTTGTTTGTTTTGCTTTGCTTTTACTTCTTTGGTTAGGCTATGTAGCTTCCTTAAAGAGAATGTTCAGTTGTAAATTGTTTTGAGATTTATATACTACCTGCAGAGTCAAGGACATAAAAACTTGATGTGTACGAGTCAACTCTCTCATTTTCTTCTTAAAAATCTTGGGATGTCCATTATACTTCCTGTCCCTGACTTCCTTCCTTTGTCAAATGAGTTGGTTAGGTCAAGTACTAATGCAAGTCACCACAACAGGTACGGAGTCAAATACCATCTCAACAGGCTGGGAGCCCAATGAAGAAAATGAAGACGAAAGAGACAAACACATCAGTTTTTCTGGATCAGGCATTGATGATGATGAAGATTTTATCGCCAGTACCAGTAAGAATAATCGATTACAGTAGAACCATTTATGAAAGGTGTAGTGATCGATCTAAGTGACACCTAACAGTAACTATCTTGGGAATAATTAGTGGGGAAAATGACTGGGCCTATACCTATATCTTTAGTTATTTACCTGGAAGAGATAGTGGAAGAAGACATAAAAAATTTTGAACAAGAGACAAAACATTTGAAAGAAAAATCTCCTAAGATTTTAAATGTCTTCTGTTCTTTCTGTTTTGTTTATCTGCTACTTTAGAGTCTCTTTGAATTATCAAGTGTTGTCAGAGAAATGAATAGTAAAACATTACAGCAAATCTTCGTGTGTACCTGCTGTGCTAGGGAACACAAAGATTAAAAAAGCCTGAGCCTTCAAGAGGCTCATAGACTGGTGGAGAAATAGACTTGGAGAATGTGATTAGGAGGGTATTCATTCAAAGGTGTAGATGACCCTCAATGAAGGCTAAGAAGGCCCTAGAAGGATTTTAAAGATGAGACAAAGAGCTCAATAATTCTCTTAATTAACCTGGTTGAGTTCAAAGGAACAAACCCAGAGTTTTAACAAGCATGCTAGGCACCAATATAACAGAGACAGTTTGAAAAGAAGAAAGAGTAAATACCAGTTCACCTTTAGTAAGGCAGTGCTAATTGTAGTGCTATGTAGTGAGCCCACTACGTATTGTATCCAAATTAGTGACCATTATAACCTTTGTAGAATAAAGAGATGAAAATTGATCTGAAAATATCCCTTAATAATTTAAAAACATACAGAGGTTGATCTAAGATTCTGCCAATGACTCAGTTTCCTAACATACCTCTAATGATCTCAGATCCTGAATTTGACTGAATCACAGCTCAGTGTTTCCTTAGAGAAAAAGATTTTGGGGTGCTACATGAGTTATCTCAGGTTACAGCAGTTCTGTCCATCCCACTGAAACCTGGGAATTTCATCCCCAAATGAACAGCACCTGGGAAAGTAGTGATCTAAAAAGAAAATAATAGTTAATGTCTTGAAAGCATCAGAGTATATGGCATTGATACAGCAAAACTCAAGTTAAACTTGAATGTTTGTATACAAAATTTTAAGTGGTACAGTCCTTGGACTGGGTACCTCTGCAGAGCTTGGTCTATACTCTTTTTAGTAACTTCAGGAGGAAAACCAAAGAACCAAGAACACTAGAGCTGTCCTATCTACATGTCCTCCTGAGTTCAAGATGTGGCCCAGCCTTGAAGGTCTGCCTACCAGTGAAGAGGTGGTCTTGATACTTGAGAAACTCCTTTGTGTGGCAACCTCAAAAGACCAACTTGCAAATGAGTTGTATGGTCAGGCGCCAGGGAGAAACTTCCTGCTATTTTTTATCTCTGTGGCATAGTTTCCAATTTCGGTTCATATTTTGGCTGAGTGCCTATGCGTATGATTCAACAGGATGCCCTCTTTCTTCTAGAGGGGTGGGCTAGCTACCACTTTTCCATGCTAATTAAGAATGTGGTCAATGATTCTAGACTTGATTTTCTTCATTTACAAAATAGTTTTCTATTATTTGGATGTCAAAATTAAGTTTGAAAGCAGATGGATTTGCAAATAATCTTTTCACAAAAGACATTGGTTCAAGCTTTGTTACGATCCTTTGGTAAGATGCACATCTTATTCTAGTCTTCACATTTTGAGAGATGATATCAGGGCATTGGTGGATGTATACCTCACTTTTTTCCTTCTGTGCATTATTCTGGTGGTGGTTTGTTATCTTTGGCCTTTTTTTTTTTCCTACTGACTGTGTCCATCCTGTTTTTCTTTCATTGGCTATGAATGGCTTGCTCATGACATGTTTTGTATTTGACAAGAATACCCTAGGTGTTTGATAAGTATTCAAGAATGTATAGCTCAACCAGATGGCTCTTCTAGGTGCAGATTCTTTCTCAAAACCATTTGTAGCAAATCTCTGGCTGTTCAGGCTGTTTCTTTCTCTAACAAAATAGCTATCAATACAGTATAACTTTCAGTACTTGAACCCTTTGGCCTGAGGAGCTATAGATAGAATGCTTTGCAGTGCTATGAATGCCTGGGGCTTTCAGTTTAGAGGGCCCGCTACAGTCTGCATGGATGGGCAAAGCTCTGACGTCTTTGGTTATCCTTGGTGGAGGGCTGGTGTTTTCAAAGCTGTTCTTCCTGCTGCCACAGCCTCTTTGGTTACTTTCTCCAGAAGATCTCATGTTCTGAACCCCAACATATCCTCGACAGAATGCAAAGGACAATGAGATGCTTCACAATGTGGTGATTCAAGCTGAAGAGGCTCTCTCCTTTCCTTCTGCTTCAACACAGCCATCTATACAACCTCGTATAGATGACTCATTGTATAGACTACAGAAGGGAGAAATGTGCAAAAGCAGTGGTGAAGAAAAGAAATGACACTTTCCTAATTGCTTCAATCATCATTATCACACTTTCAGTCATTCCAAGGGTTTCTGACCACACAAAACAGAACCAGGATTGGAACCAGTGGAGACCAAGCCATTCAAATCCAGAAGTACTACTTCAAACAGCGACAAGGATGACTGGTAATGGGTTCTGCACATTTAATTAAAGATATTTTTCCCTCAATGCCTATGCTGCTGCAAAGGTCAATCGTCTGGACACAGTGGGAAATTTAATTAATTTCTCATCACAAATTCTTAGTGAACTTTCATGACCATACTCAATTCCACTTAGGAGTCATTTATCAGTCATACCATCTGGGTATGAGATATTTTATGTTTCTTTGTTATAAAAATGAATACCTTTGAATGGTTTGTGGGACTGTCTCTGGCAAAATGATTATGGGGAATACCATCATGAAGAAATTTCATTCCCACTCATTCTCATGGGAAGACGAATGAAATCAGACTTACTGAGCATAGTACTCAAAGACAGTGTTTAAGCCGACAACTGTTAGATAGCATGTTCTTTGATAGAAGAAAAGAATCATTAAAGGCTGGTTGATAAAAAGTCACAGTGTATTTAACATCATCACAACAGATATAGACAGAAATGGCACCAGTGCTCATGGAGAAAACCAGACCATGGAACCACAGCCTCCTCTCATTCACCACGAGCATCAAGAAGAAGACGAGACCCCACATTCTACAAGAACAAGTAAGAAGGATGATGGTCAGCAGTTCTTACACAAGTTAGTGAAAACATTCCAGAGACTAGGGAAGATACTTTTAGATATTGGCCACATCTACTGTCTCTTGTGCAGTAATTTCCTTTATCTGCAGAGCCCGAAAAGGGGCCAAATATCCACACAAGCTTTAGAAAGTGGAAGAAAAATGCCAATTTGTCATGTTCCCCAAAAATCCAAAATATTGACAAAATAGATCAAGGATACAGTGTGTGTGTTAAAGATTCCTTGAGGTTCCATTTGGGTGGTTTGTGGTGTTTATGGAAATGTATGGTGCAGCGTGTATTCTTTGGGTGCTTAGTAATAGAATATGGATGGAAAGCTTGACAAGTGGAATTCTTTGGAATTCTTATTTTCTATGAAGATATGTGATAAATCCAGGTTTCTTCTTTCACATTATCTTCCTCTATGATAGAATGGCACTGCCATGGTTCTCATCTCCATTTGAATTACACAGCTCCCCGTCTTCTACTTTCAAACAGAATAACTTGGGAAAGGCTTTGATGCCCTTGCTTCTATTTCAACTTAAGTACACACATCTCAGGTTTTTGTTTTTTTTTAAAAACAATCTCAAGTCTCACAAGTGGACTATGAGGATGGGATAAGATAAGAATACTAAAGTAAGAGGTATGCACTCTTCTTTCATCTGAAAGATCCCTATCTTATTTAGAATAAAGTTAACTTTTATTTGAGGCAATAGCTTGTAGCATTTCAAAAACTATGGTTCAGCTACAGCTTTGGATATTTTGAAAGGGAAAATGTAGGAAGCAGTTATTTTAGGAGCCAATGGAGCTTGGAAATCTCTAGTTTAAGAGATGTGTTTAGACAACGAAAGAAATGTTTAGGACATAGGTTTGTAAGTCATGGGCATTGTTCTGAAAGAGTCCAGCAGGACTTAGCTCCCTTCACTTACCCCCAATAGATTCAATATATACATAAGGATTAGCAGTTGAGCTAACAAAGAAGTATTCTGGAAAAAGACATGGAGAGGAAGCAAAGTCTCTTTGGAACAGGGTTCAGTGCCAGTCCCTTTTGAGTCCTAACAGTGTGTCTTAGAAATTACTCTAAACAGTTTGCACTTAAGCAGAAAGCTGCTTAAGAGGCCTAAAATTAGTGGGCCTAATGTCAAAGGTCTCCTGCTGGGAGAGAGTTGAGAATCAAGATATAATGGAACTTGGCAAAGAGATAGCAGCAGCAATGCTTGCAAAAGTTCTGATTGGTGACTTCTGTGCTTTATCAAGTAGAAATTACAATTTCTAGAAGAGAGTCAACCATCATGTTTTACAATGGAAATTCTATATTCTGCTAACCCATTTCTACCTACTCTGAAAATAACAGGGAGTTGCTGTGTGCTTAAAGGAACTTTATACTCATAGAAGTAGTGATAGAAGGGATGTAGACTTGTGAGCGAGTTTGCACATGCAAGTGTGGAATCACCATTTTTAAAATTTAAACTGTAAATATTATATCACGTTTTTTTTTGTAATTACATCCAGGGTTTTTCCTAACCTCATTATCTGTCAGCAGATAGTGACTTAGTCATTGGCAGATAAAATTTTAGGTTTTGGCTTTTTTTCCCTTCTCCCTTTGGATTACCAGTTAATCCCAGGAATGGTTTGGCCAATGCAAAAGTAAAATGAGGACGATAAATTAAATTTTTAAAATATATTTGCTGTTGTCAAACCACACCCATCATTTTCTCAGACAATGAGTTACAAAAATTATAAGTCACAAAAACTAATTTGGCTCTTGTTTGCTGATGAACCAAAAATTCACTATGAGTTGTTATGGATGAAAATGAAGAACCCTGATGGAATTTTGTTCCACTCATTTTATCTTTTTTGAAACAGTAGTTGAATGATTACTTATGTAATGCCCCAAACTGGCTAGAATAGTTTTTGTTCCACTGATTTAATTTTGTTAAGAAGTGATTTTAGTAATTTTCCTTGTCCCTACATAACCATGTAATGGGTCAGTCTATTAACATCCCAGTCACCCAACAGCTTTCATGCTGAACAATCTATTGCAAGTGTATTTCTGATGAGTGTGATTGCAGGTTGTATGTAACCCCTTTGAGAAATCCTTCTACTATACTGATGTCATAAGTGGTTATATGACACATTTCCTTTTCCAAAATCACTAGAGCAAAAATATTATTCTTTGAACAAACATTTCGGACTGGAGATGTGGCTCAAGTGATAGAGTGCCTGCTTTGCAATCCAGAAGCCCTGTGTTCAAACCCCAGTCCCACCGAAAAACCAAAACAGCAACAAACATTTCTATCAACAGGATAGATGAGGCCAAAGACTACAGTAAATAAAATAATACTGTGAATTCATAAGCTATGGTCTAGTCCTCACTCTTCCACTCTGGCTACCTGATTTTAAACAAATGAAACTTCATTGAACGCTAGTTTTCCCATCTGAAGAAGGACGGGACCATTTGATTTCTAATTTCCCTTTCAGAATGTCAGTGGACTATCTCCTAGCTACTTTCCTTTTTCTGTCTTTTGTCTCCATGTATCTATGCCCTTAAAATGGAAAGATGTAGAAGAATTTTTGGCAAGAACATTGGATGATTATCACTCACAATTAACATTTTTCTCACAGCCTGGGCACCTTCTAGTAGTACAACAGAAGAAACAGCTACCCAGAAAGAACCATGGTTTGGGAATGGATGGCATGGGGAATATCCCCAAACACCAAAAGAAGACTCTCATGCAACAGCAGGGACAACTGGTAATGGATGGTAACAGGCAAACATGGGTGGCAACTTTCTTTTGAATTAAATGTTGGGCACTGAAGACACTGAGCAGAAGGACCATGAAGGTATTGTCATAAGATGTTAAGCTTCAGCCAAGCACCAGTGGCTCACACCTGTAATCCTAGTTACTCAGGAGGCAGAAATTAGGAAGATCATGGTTCCAGGCCAGCTCAGGCAAATAGTTTGTGAGTCCCTATCTTGAAAATACCCAACACAAAACAGAGCTGGTGGAGTGGCGTAAGTGGTAGAGAGCCTGTCTAGCAAGTGTGAGGCCCTGAATTCAAACCCCAATACCACCAAAAGAAAAGAATTTTAGGTTTCCTAGTAAATTGTCTTTTGGCAAATACAAAGGCAAACCTTAAATCCTCCTAACAAACTACCTGACCAGGATTGGATATAAGCACACAAAGAAACAGGGACTCTGTCCTAGAGTGAATCACTTGCAGATCTAGTTTTGGGCTTCTTCTAGTGAGACTGGAACAGAGTCCCTGATCTTATAAAATACTCCTCTTTGTTTTGTACAAGAATCCACTGTATAATATGAATCCCTCTTTACAACATGGTTTATGAAACACTAGGCTTGTAATAAAAAATTTTATCAGAACCCTAGTGTTAGAAGAAATGGATCCAGACATTATGAGAAAAATGGTGTGATTTGACCTTATGTTCATATCTATTTGGTAATTTCTCCTTGAGTGGACAACTTTTCCTCAGATTTATGAACAAGTCACCTTCTCTATTCTTGAATTGTGGGATTGTAGAAATTGGATTCTAGTCTTGTGTCATCTCTGAGTGATGACAGGTGATAGCTTGGCTCTGCAAGCTCCTATGCATGATTCTTCCATCTGTGTGACTGAAGTATTGATACCTGCCTTGTAAAGAATGTGAATTCCACATTCTTACTTTGTGTCAGTGGGGATATTTCCAAGTTTCCTTTTGCAATAGAAAATATAGCGCAAAATATCTGTTCAGTGCATGGCAACTTCTGGATAAATTTCTACTAGGACCATATGTGTGGTGACTGGCTAGGTGGTTTGCTGTTCCTAGGGGGGGTTACCATGGTAATCTTTCCCACTTATACTTCTCCATTGACACAGAATGAAGCAAAGGCATGAGCAATAGTCTCATGTGTCATTTATGCCATAAACTCATTTTGAAAGATAATGCTTCTCATGGATTGCATTCATGTTTTGTGATGAGTGAATTTACTTTCATGTTTACCACTTGGGAAGCTATGACCTGATTCCTTTGCAAAGTTCCTACTAGCCTACTGTGCATTTTTCTGGGATGAGGTTGTTTTGAGTGACATCATTCACTTGGGATACTGTTCTTCTTCCTTTAGGGGTGTGGCAGCATGGGTCAAGAACTACTTCTTCATCTTCTCTTGCTGTCTATCACTTATCCTCTATCCAGTGCAGATGTTGTTAATGCTTTACAACCTCCAATTCCCATGCTGATTGCCAATAAAATGAGTATAAATGAACACAAAGCTGCTAAAACATTTGACATTTATGCAAGTTCTGTGCCCTCAGTATCAGGAAGATAGTTTTATGGTCTTGTCTAGAAAATAAAGTTTGTTTTTAAAAAAATCAGGGTATCTGTCCATTGCTAAATGTCAATTAACACTTTGACGATTGCTTGAACATTATGGTCACAACAGCCTCAGCCCACGACAGCCATCCAACTCAAAGATTGACAACACAGGGTCAAGAGGACAGTTTCTGGACCGATTTCTTGGACCCAGTCTCACATCCAATGGAACATGATCATCAAACAGGAAAAAGGATGGGTAATGGACTCTGAAATATTTTTATATTATGTCTTTAGAATCAACCAAGTGACTTTTTCTCCTAGAAATATGCCCTTGGTTTTAGACCAAACTATTTTTCTAAGAAACTTAACATTTCTTCAAAAATTAGTTTTCTTGGTATAAGTAATGTGCATATCCTGAATATAAAGGCCAGGGCTGAGAGGAAGAATTCGTCAGGAAGGCTAAAGAATAGTCTAGGCTAATAGGAATGGAAGTCATCTCCCCCACCCCCGGAAAGGGTATTCTTAAGATTACTTTTCCATTTTACTTCTAAATGCAAGGTTTTCAAAAAACAAAGTGATGGATTCAGTGATTATCTCCATTACAGACTCAAAGATATAACTTATGTTTGGTAGAAAATGCTACAGGTCAAAAAATTGCTGAGTAGTTATCCCAAATATGTAACTAAAAGGCTTAGAAAGTTTTATTGTTTATTCTTGCCATGTTTTGAAACAATGTGCTAACCAGTGATTTAGGATTTAGGCCATTCTTAACCCTCAATGAATATTTGTGAATTTACTGGGTGGGTAACTTTTACATGAGATAGAATTCCTCTTTTCTTAAATACCCTTCAATGTATTTACCTATGAATAACTAAAAGAAGGAGGGAGGGGGAGAGAGAGAGGGGGGGGAGAGAGAGAGAGAGAGAGAGGAGAGGGAGAGAGAGATTACTGTAGTTTTGCAAGAATCAAAGATTGTGAATTTTATTTGGACAATTTTTATATTTAAGAGGAATTTCTCTTTATTGTAACAGGTAACAGCTTACCTAAGAGGAATATCAAGATTTAATAGAAATAATGCCCCCCTTTTACATCCATATTAAATAAGTTGAAGAATCCATGTTTCTTACTATAGCTATAAGTGGGGTGGCTTTTTTTTTTTTTACCAAAATGTCCTGATCACAGAAATATAACATTCCAAAAAGAGGAATAAATCAAAGCAGTCAATATAGGGCTGTGAGTGTTCAGTCATGGACTTGAATATACCTTCTGAATTGCCAGGCATATGCATAACAAAATCTTATTGAAGTGAGTTCTAAGAACACAACGACTATGTCTCTTGGTATTGGATGACTAAAAAAGTTATCTACAAAGTGAAGCCAACAAATTCTATAGCTTCATTTCTTTAGAACACTCTTCACTATATCTTAATCAACTATTAGTGATCACCTATCCCTTAAACCACAATGTGTATTAAATATCTAGTAATATAGAGACACAATGAGGTATAATTCATAGTCCATACTCTTACTTAAAATTTTGCTGACAAAATAAAGCATGTAGCATCAAAATAGATCTAACAATGTAAGAAATTGTGAAATTAATGTTACCAACAATAAACACTAAAGAAATTCAGAAGATCTCACACCCACCAAAGAGTAAGATGAATTGAATTTAAATTTTTGAAAAATTGTAAAAATCTAGGTAGTCAGAGAATGGAAATGGGAGGAAATTTTTCTATAAAGGAGATTCATGTAAGGAGGGCTGTAAAGGAAGAAAAGTTAAGGAATGAATATATCAGAGTAAGTGAATGCATTTTTCATTAAGAAAGATGAGTTTAAATGTCTAGGTTGGGGCCATTATGTTGAGTTACTGAAGTGGCAAATGCAGACCCAACATATATTTTTATGTGCATAGCTTCTGGGGCTCTAATGACATCCATGGTAGAAAACCAAGCCAGTAAAAGAACCTCAGAATCAGTATTAAATGTCCATAGTGAGGAAGAAAAGAGATTCCATTACATGGCCAAACATGTCAAGGACAACACAATTGGCTTCAACTATAGAATGACATGATACTTCTTGAAGGATCCAACTTATAAAGGGGAAGATGAACAAAAGTGATTAGAGCCCATCAATATGTAGAACACTTCCCAGAAGAACATCCATTTGGAATTGTGGTTTGGGTTAGCTGGCTTTTCTTCTTCTTTGAATCTGGGATAATAGAGTCAGCTACACATTTCTGTCCTACAGAGCTCTTTCAACATGTAAAGGCTGCAGTGCAGATGTAGGTGCTCAACATCCCAGCGCTTTCTGCTGGAGTCATTTGGGACTGATTAAATATCCCCAGAGGAAGTAGAGTCTGGGTAGATTGACTAAATTGTAGAGTCAGCAATATTGATGGTGTTTATGGACTGTTTGGCCTCTGTTTTACTCAGGGCTTGTTATTTCAGGAGAATAGATTCATGATTACTATTAAAAACAGCATTTCAAAATACTTCAGTGAAATTTCTGCACCACTCAACATTTGTCATGTTAAATTCCAAAGACACCTTACATTTGTGTTTATGGGAAGAAGGAGTCAATGACATCTACTGCTTCCTACTTCTTGCTACTGGATACTTACTATTGCCTCCATCTATGTAGTATATAGTTTTATGTTTTTACTTGCATATTCACTTTGTGAATCAAAAAGGGAGTAAATGAGGGTAGAGGGCTATTAAAAATATTCTTTTTCCTGGTGAGCGGGAGGTGGAAAAACAGTGCTTGAGCAGTGTCATTTCTCCATGTGTCAGATTGAGTGTGTCTATAAGAAAGACCATGTGTGTGGAATGGAACAGTCACACATAGGTTCTCTTTCTGTCTCTCTGCAAGGCTTGGGAGCCCCATCATGTGCACATGTAGCATCTTTCTAGGCTCAGCAGAAACAAATATCAGCCCTTAAATGAAAGCCAATTACTTCCTGTGACACTCTTTTGAAGAAAGAATAACTTATCCTAATTCTGAAGACATGAATCAGTATGTGCTTCCTTTCCTCTTACCAGGTTTGAGTATAAAATAACTTGGCTGTAGAACATAAACGACCCTTGGATGATGGTTTAGGAAATACAGCAATAACACTAATTTAATTCCTTCAGATATGGACTCCAGTCATAGTGCAACGCTTCAGCCTACTGCAGATCCAAACACAGACTTGGACAGGACAGGACTTTCAATGACAACTCGTAAGGATGAACAGCCCCTTTGTTGATCTGTCTTTCTGCTTCAGATCTTGCTCATATTGGCTGAGATACAGAATTTGGTGGTGGAATGGTGTGGAATTTTGCTATATGGCTAAGCTCAGTCAAGGTGTGAAGTTGTCCGTCCTCATTATTCTTTATTTCTCATGGGGTTCTTTAAACTTGATTTTACCTTCATTCTTATGCCTTCCAGATTCAGTGACTTTATGTAAAGGGAGAGAGACAGAAAGAGAGAGAAAGAGAGAGAGAGATTCAGAGTGACAGATTGAGACTCCATTCAGCTTAATTTTCCTTCTCTAAGCAGTCTGTCAATGACACCAAAGACCACAACTAAGACAGTGGTTTCTCTGTGTTTTAACTGACCATCTCTTGATTCCCACCCTGCCTCTCATAAAGACAGAAGGATTGCTTTCACAGTTGTGAAAAGGCATTTTAGGACCCAATAATCAGAGAGCAGGGATGTCACATTAGCCTACAGAGTAGAAGCAAGTCATGTTGTTGACAATTATTGAAGGTGGTAGGGTCCCTGGAACGAAAAACGAATACTCACTAATATTTCTATTACCAAACACCTGGTGAGAAGCAATGTGAAATTTCTAATAGCCTTAATTTTTACCATATGGCCAACGATAGCTTAGGGATCAGCCTAAAATCATTTATACTTTCTTGGCAGAATATGAAAGAAATCCAGAATGAAGAAGGCCTCATTTCACTGCTTGCTGCATAATGGGCAGAGACCTTTGTAAGATCCCTTTAGGCTGAGGAAAAAATCAGCAAGCGTGTGTTGATTGTCAGCAATATAAATAACACAGTGTTAAGCATCAAAGAAGATGTAAATAAGCCTATGAATGGCCCTTGCCAATGAAGAACTTGTATTCCCATTTTATTTTACTGTTGGCTTTTGTTCTGATGTTGAGTTTGGGATTTGGTGCAATGTCTTTCTCCTAGTTATGATACTTATTTGGTGGTGGACATGGTTTACGGGTGTGGTTTATGGAGTGTTTGCACCTGCGAGTCAGAGGTCAGTACCTTTCTTGGAAGAACACGAAAGAAATGAACTCAAAACAGTCAAAGAGATTTCAGATATGAGTAATGGTTCAGCCTCAAATTGATACATGTCACTGTAAAGCCTTCGTTTGCCCAGACAAGCATTTCTTTGGTGATGAGTATTCCTGACCACAGATGAGACTAAAAATCTAATAGAGTGAAATGGGAACTTAAATTTAATGGTCTTTAGAAGGAAGTTATGTGTTTACTGGTGTTTGCTTTGAGATGCTAGAGCAGGTTATTCTAGATGGACTTTTTTCTCTTTTGTAGCTACAGGTATACTACATAGTGTTATTTTCCCTATAGTCTCACTTCTTAATCCATAGTTAGGTGCTCTTGGTGGTTGATAGGAACAAAAAAATTCAAACATTCCTTTTTCATGTCTCTGGTTTTCCTGAGTTGACCAGAAGCAATGCTACAGTGGGGTCAAAATGGTCTAAGGTGGGCAAAGTTTTGGCCAAGGCTTCACTTTGGCACTTTACCTTTATTGGTTACACTGAGAGAGAAAGGGGCCAATGAGGGGCAACAAAGAATTCTTCTATGTATTTCTATCAATAAGGTACAATAATGTACACAAATTATATTCTTCCTATGCACTTGTCCATCCGACATACTATAGCCAGCTCCTCCCTGTTAGCAGATAACAGAGGACTTGTATCATGGCTCCAAATTAACATTGGATTCATCCCTCATTGAAACAGAGCAAAGTCATTCTCAGAGCTTCTCTACATCACAAGGAGAAATGGAAGAAGATAAAGAACACCCAACAACTTCCACTCTGCCATCTAGCAGTAAGAATTATAAAGCTCAGTTGGCTTCAGTTACTAATAAAAATCAATAAATGATGGGTGCTTTTATAGTATCTTTGGTGGAGGGACATCAGTTGGCTGTTGTATTGTACTATTACTTTTGATCAAAAGGTGCACCTGGTGGTGGTCTCTGATTTTTCTGCTACGTAGACCTCTTAGAAGCCATTGTCATTAAGTGTTTTTATTGCTTAGTCTTAATTGTCGGAGTTCTTAATCTCTAGAGTTAGCAACTTGTTTAAAAATTGGTGGAGTGTTTACATAAAATTTTTAATTGGTATAAAAGTCTTATATATCACTCTGTATATGCCTTGTATTGTTGATATTATTTTCCTGTTTGTCCTCTGGACTATAACTCTACGGTGCTGATGACTAAGAAGTAGTGCCTTTCTGCAAAGGAAAGAATAAGTTAGTAGCCTCGGATCTTTCAAATCTTGCATTTGCTATTCCAGTTGCAGGCCACATAATTTTATCTTTCAACCCAATGAGATGTTTCTTCCACTTCATCAAATGTGGATCCAATTTCTCGCTCAAGATTTTCTAGTACTTGAGTTGACTTCGAGGTTGCAGTATAGTGGCATACTGCTTGCCTTAAAACTTAGGAAGATGTTGCAAGAAATGCCTCTTCTACATAGCAGGATCACCAAAATCTCTCTTCTGTTGAGTGATGTCCAGGTGGTATTGCAAAATATTCATTTTGTTCAATAAAATGACAAACTTCACCATCATTTGCTTTTGTCGTTGGATAACAAGTGGAAAGGTTTTGCACCAATTACACATTCTGAAGACAAGCACGTGGTGAGTGAGGATTTATAGGTATGGGTTTATCATTGATTTCACCTCCACACAGATAGGAGTGATGGCAGAGGTGGAAGAAGAGGTGGAAATCTTCCTGACGACACCACTACTACACTGGAAGGTTATACCTCTCATTACCCAGACATAAAGGAAAGCAGGACCCTCATCCCAGTGACCCCTGCTAAGACTGGGGCCTTTGAAGAAACAGAAGTTACTGTTGTTGGAGATTCCAACTCTAATGTTGATGATTCCTTACCAGGTAATTTGGCCATTTGTTGTCTGGTTTGCTTTTGCTATAAAGAGAAATCAAATATATTTTCCTATTACAATGAATATTTTCTGTTAGGTTGTGACATGGAAATAGTTTTCATCATTGGCCATCAATTCAAGTGCTTATAAACTTGGTTTTATTTAAGATAAATATTGCTTCCATTTTCCAGTGTACTTTCCACTTATTTTTGTGGCTTGGTTGTTATGGAGAATTTTTTTTGTTTGTCTCAATCCTCATTCTGTGATATATCAAGTTGAACCATATGAAATTATGTATTTCTATGAATCAAAATAGTTGAACATTTGCAACTTCATTTGGTTCAACTAATACATGCTGCCTATTTAGTAAAGTCTTACCCAAAATGTGACTAATTTTCATGTGCTATATTTTTGCTCTGTAATTATCTTCTACTGGTGATGGATCGATCAACCTTACTTTTGGTGATGGGCTGATAAATAAACCTTTTCTAGTTTTGATGCACTTAAAACTTCATGATTTAGTCTACTATTAATGAACAGGATTAATTTCTTTTATTATAATGGTAAAGAGTTTGACACAGACCTGAATGAGACTTTTCTTCTCAGATAAGCAGTCCTCTTCTTTTCTTTGTTTCTCCATTTGTATTAAGAAATTAACACTAAAGAAAGGGGAAGAAAAAAATGCTCACTTTGGGCTAAGAAACTAGAAACTGATTGTACCTGTCTAGTGCCATTACTCAAGTGCTTTGTCCCATTCAATCACTAACACATATTAAGGATTAGTGAATTTAAATACATATATTTTGTAGCAGTGACACCCCCCACCCCATCCAACTGAAAAAAAAAAAGACATAAGAATCCCATATGTAAAACAGAGCAGTTGTGATGCTCAGGTTAACATAATGGGGAAAAATCCAGAATATCACATTTTCGGCCTCTTTTCTTTGGGTCGCCTACCCTAGGCCTTCAAGAAAAATAATTTAAAAAATACTGACCTCAGCAATCTTTGCAAGATAAAGTCCACTTTCACTCCTTAATGTTTTACTTAGCATGGTTCTGCTCTATCTTATTAAAACCTCCAATTTCAGCTGGCTTATGAAGGAATGAATCTTAGAGTACTGCATGGTTTCTCTTGGCAAAATAAGGCCTATTCTGCAACTTAATGGATTTAAATTTGGAACGGCAGTTTTAACAGTTATTATATCCTATATGGCTTAATGAAGCCTATTGTTAGCAAATAAAATGCTTTCTACAAAATCCATGAATGCATGATCCCTTCTACATAGGCATAAGAAAGGTAATAGTATGGACAGATTTGTCATGGCTCTACATGAATTTAATGATTGGCAAATGATCTGATTTTCATCCTCACATCAGCATACTTCTGCCTGTGCCCTTTTCTCAATCTTTTGCTTAATGTTAGGAACTAAACATTTGGAATCATGGTGGCATTGGTGGTGGTGAATATGGTGATTGGTGGTGATGATTTCAGTAGTGGAACTATCAGTGTGGCATTTCAGTCACCGCTATTTTCTGTTATTCCAACCATCAGCCAAGGAACAAAGCGATCTATCTCTTTAATATAATTATGACAGCAATTACAAGTGACCCACCTCTGCCTTTCCTAATCAGGGAAATGGTATGTATAGGACTGTATATTCTTTATTTTTCATGATGGATGACTATAGTAACTTTATGAAACCTTGTTCTGTGTGTTTGTTTTTAAGATTCCAATATAATTTTTAAAAATGCAGAGGGGAAAATGCCAGGGACTTTCCATATGTTGAATCCAACATTTAAACTTTGAATTTAGATTTTAGCGACTAATGAATTTGTTGCATCCTAAAGCTTTCTGGTGATGAATGTTTGAGAAAATGAGATTATATTTACTGTTGTTGAAAATACAGACTTAACATTTGAAAAATATTAATTGGAGCTTATTGTAATACCAGGTACATGTTATTCACATGTTATCACTTCACCATTTCTTTTTTTCATTGACTTTTGACCTTTTTTCCCTGTAAATAATTGTCTGCCTTTCCTTTTCAAGTCTTTACCTCACTCAAACATGCATTCTTTTATTACAAACCATTTTCCTGCCTCAGAGAAGTCTCTTTAGCTATCTCAGGCCCTGAGCCAGAATACCACCATTTCCAGTGATCACATGCCTCATAACCCAATTCTTATAATCCTTATGTAATGTTATTAATCTAGTTCCAACCTCAGCCCTGCAATGGCATTGTAACATTTTGTTAGAGTATTCTTTGCCACAGTTCTTGGATTTCTACCAAAACTGCACTTTCTATGATCATTCTTGATGGCCTATACTGTCCAGTTTCCTTAATTTCAGTGAAATCTCTAGCCCACTCATCAGTGGGCTAACCACTTAGCAGTAATTAATATCATCGACCCATTCAAGGCTCTTACACAATATTGACCTTCCTTCATTGCTCATTATAGGAGACAGAGACTTTGTGGACAACAGTGGGAGGTCCCATACCACTCATGGATCTGAATCAGCTGGTGAGTTTGGAACCACATTAGTCACTTATTACCCTAATCATTGAACTTGATGATTACTGATGAAGTCTGAGTCAGTGTCTATAGAGAAGTGGTTCATCCTTTTTTAACATGTATTACAATTCCAGGGGAGGTTTATTGAATCACATTGCTGAGCTCTACCCCAAGAGTTTCTGATTCAGTGGGTCTGGGGCAGAACCCAAGCATTTGTATTTCTAATAAATTACCTAGTACTGCTGATACCACTAGGACAGGGACTATACTTTTGAGAGCAACTGGTCTGGAGAAAAATCTTCCTTTGAGAAGATCAAGAAGAATACAAGCAGGGCCCCAATTTAACATTGCCCTATGCCCTATTGACTAAGAGCATGGGGTTTGAAATAAGAATAGCCTATATTTGATCTCAGTTCCTTTACATATAAACTGAACAAGATGCTTAAAGAGTCTATGGTTCAATTTCCTTACTCATAAACTTAGGATACTAATTGTCACAGGGCATGGATTAAAGACTAGATGATAAGATACATGGAAATCACTTAGCATAATTTCTGGCACATGGTACAGTAGCTAATATTGGAGAATTTACTGGGTACCAGCAAAGCACTTTATATGATTAGGTTTGACCATCTGGAGCTGCTGTGTCTATAGGGCAAGAAGAGTCAGTCTCAGTGAATTCTGACTTCATCTAATATAACTCATTCAATTAACTTACAAATCCTGTGATATGTATAAGTACTATTGTTATACCCGTGTTACAGATAAGGAAGCTAAGGCTCAGAGACGGCTTGAGCCTCAGTTGGGATCCCATGCCAAACTGATATGACCAGTGAGTGGTGGAGCCAAGTTTCAACCTCAGGAGTCTGATTGCCTTTCATAAGCATGGTCTAGAGAAAGCACTCATAATGACCATAATTATTGACAGGCTTGCATTGTTAAATAGATTCCTATTGGCCTTGATTCCAGTCACACCCCTGGAAATGTTACTCCAGGTAGAAAAAGTCTGGCCTCGGGCAGGTTCACTTCTGACCTCTTGTATTTGGGCTACTGACCAGAGTCTCCCACAAAGCACTACAAATCCAGGTGACAATTATCATCCTTCTCTACACGTTCAAGTTTGGGCAAGGGATGCCTCCAGGTTTAAAGCAAATCCGAAGATGGATATTGATAATAACCCTTTCTGTAGGCGTACTAGGATATAAGGGTTATTACAAATGTTCAGAACTGCAAATAGAAGTCTTAGGGTCACAGAGGTCCTTGGGCAGGGCACTTGACCTTTCCCAGCCTCAATCTTATTAGTGAAAAGATCAGATTACCTGCCTCAGTTACTTCCTAAATTTCTTATGAGGAACACAGGTATCAAGAATGTGAAAGTATTTTGAAACAGTGGAGAGTTATTACTAAAAGGCCACTATCTAAAACCAGGAGATTCTAGTCACTCTAAATGTGGTCCTTGGACCAGCAGCAAAAACATCACATAGGAATATTGAAAATGCAGAATCTCTGACTTGTTTACATGTACTAAATCAGGATCTACATTTTAGCCAAGTCCCTCCACCCTCATGTGGTTTGTATGCATAATAAATTTTGAGAAGCCTGTCCTCCACTACCATTCTGAGTGAAGCCAACTGAATGATTTCTGTGCACATGTCTCAAGTTGGGTCTTGTCTCCCAATGGGAATGCCTCAGTGCCCTGCTTGTTTTCCTGGCTGGTCTAACCTTGCTAAATTTGTGGACCTCTGGAGCATAAGGAAGATCTGCTATCTTCTGCCCATCTTTTTTGGCTTTTGCTTGAAGTGAGAATCAGGTGGGCGGGCTGCTAGTCTCTTTTGTTTGGCTCCTGTGCAGGTGTCTATTGTTCAAACAGGAGGTTTCATCTTGTGCACACACCCAGGTCTTTCCTTGCTGGGAGCACTTTTTCAGAAAATCAAAATAAAGAGATTATGATCTACTAATGGCCTCCCTTTCAAATATCAAAGGCGCTATGAGTCAGGAAAAAAAAAAAAAAGACCAGTGAAACTAGGTTTCCAAGGCCAAAGATCTTCAGTTTAGATGGCCCATACATATCCCATGACTTGTGTAGGCAAAAACCTGCCAATGACCAAGGACAGTAGCAGGCAGCTAGGGAAATTGCCTTGGATTTCTTTGAGGTTTATGAAGTAGAAGGTCACAGTGAAAATGAGGTGGGGTATGTTGAAACAGCAGGACATCTGGTAAGAATTTGCTCCATTTTGAGTTTTAGCAAGAACGTTAAATTATATAAACAGGAGCCATCTTACCCAAAATAACCATTGACATCACATGCAGACTCCCATGTTTGACTCTCTAAGAAAAGCTTGTAATTTAAGCCCTACCATCTTCATCAATTGACCAGCCAAATAGATGTCCCTAGAGTTTTGGGTTTTTGTTTTTATTTTTCCCTTCAGGATTTTATAGCAGGTTCCCATTCACTAGGGGAAAAGGGTTCATTTTAGTAAAATATTTTCAAACTTTGCTTTCCAAGTGGTGGAGGAAGCATTAAAAAACAAAAACAAACCCATTCCCCCCAAAAAACAAAGCTTTACTTTAGATAAGTCTCTTAGCAAGATGTCTTAGAAGTTTCATTTCAAATGTGATGCCTTCCTTATTCTGATAAGCCAACTGTGGTTTTGACTTGTAAACTTTCTATCTTGCAAAGCTTCCTTCCACTTTGGGACTTTTTGTTCACTTCCCTATTTTCTTTTTTAGTGTTTTGGCTCATAAATTAGTAGGGACTCTAATATGGTGATTGTTCATAGACATAAAAGGCCATCACCCTTCTCCCAGCCCTTATTTTTTGGTGTTCATGTTGCCTTGCTTCTATGAGGTTATTCTATATGATTTTTAGACACAATTTGGGCTTTCTGGGGCATATGAATACCTTCGGGACTTTATAAAAATGAAAATGCTGATTGATTATGTAGGTTTGGAGTGAAGCCTGAGATTCTATGTTCCTTCAAGCTCCCAGGTGAAAGCTGTACTGCTAGTCTAAGGGTCACATTTTGAGTAGCAAGTTCCTAAATTAAACATAGAAAATAATAACTATGTACAACTAGCATTACTGTGTACTTCTTTAAGCCTTTGTAAAAAGATGATGAAGTAGGTCCTGTTATGATGCCTATTTTACAAGTGAGAAACTTAGACTTGGAGAGGGTACCTTGACCCAGGAAATGTTGTTAGCAAGAGGCAGTGTTAGGGTTGGAACCCAGGGCTGTCCAGCTCTAGAGCACAGAGTCTTTTTAAACACTGCCCAACACTGCTCTGAGAATCCTCAGGTTTCTTGACTTGAAATAACATTTCCAAGTCTTATCTTAATCACACTGAACTTGGAAGGGGACGCTATCTTTTGTCTAACACTTTCTAAATGTCTGTCACTTGAATGTATAAATAGCTTCTCAATGATGCAGGTGTTAGAGTGTGGCCCCATGTGGTGCTCTAGAAGGAACTCCTGCTTTTGCATTCCAGTTGTGGGCTGAAAGATCATGTTATTTTTCCCTTAGGACCCTCAAGTGGTAGTCAAGAAGGTGGGGAGAACACAACCTCCAATCCTATAAGGAAACCCCAAATTCCAGGTGAGTTTCAAACTGTGAAGCAAAACAACATGTTTAAAGCAAGTTTTTCAGAATGTCCCAAAAGGAGTAAGAGTCTAAATCAAAATACATTCTCCTAAATGCCCATCCTTGAACCTGATGCCTTCTGTTTGCAATTTAAGGATGAATAACAGTACTATATTTATTTTGGTAGAAAGGATAGAACACTTTTTTTCCTGGGTCCACTGGGCCCAACAGGTGGGCTGAACTCACATTCAGGCCTGTCACTGGCCTGCCTCAAAGACCTGCCTTGTTAGTTACTAAAGCTTCTCTCCCAAATGATCAATCCCAGAGGACTCCATGTCCCACGCAGTCTTCCTATCCCAACCTCTTTACTTCTGGGCTGAGAGGTGAAGCTTGTAATTTTCTTTTCACATTATAAACAGGGAAGCGATACAAAGGCCATTTGTGTTAGGTGAAGTGAAAACATTCTTCTGGTCCCCAAACTACTTTTTCTTGAGGAATAGTCTACTGATCCAGCCAGAAGAAACCTTCCAGCAAACATTATATGTGCAGTAATACCTGGCTGGGATGTCTGGCCCTCCTGAGCAACAAGATTTAAGGCATCTGATGCAAATTCTTCATTTGACTTGGGGTCAAAAACTGAGCATTATACAAAGGAAGGGTGGTAAACTACCCTTTTACCTCTTCCCTCTTAGAAGTTGCCAATCCAAGTCTCCCTTGGGGAAAAAGAATAGAATGTGTGCCTTGCCCCTTTGCCTCTGCTTGCTCCAGCACACTGAAAGGCAGAGTGGGGTGGGGTGGGGACTTCCAGGGAGCAGGTAGATGAGGAGAGGGACAAACTGAGCTGGAATCTTGCAGGAGGATTCTTCCAGCTCTAGTGAAGGGAATGCTGGACATTTCAGGGCTGGAGACCAGGGCCAGAATTGGGGCAGAGGAAGAACAGAAATGCTACCATCTGTTAGCCTCCCACTTCCTTGAAGTAAGCCAAAGGTGGTACCCAGCAGAAAGTAGGAAGAATCCAAAACTTCCAAAGAGAAGTGAGCAATGAATGACTTTCACCTTTCTTCTTTCTCAAGCTTTGGTTCATTACGTACTTGTACAACTGAGTCGATTCAACTTGCCAAGTCATAGTTTTAATACTGTTAAAGACTCACATGAATAATATGTCATTAGTCTACATGATACATAACTATTGAAGAGATTTTAGAAAATACAACCAAATTGATAAAAATATAAATAACAAATTATCTCACCATCCAGAAGCACCATTTTAATATATGTTCTTTCTGTCATTTTCTTATGTAATTTATGTACAAAAATGGGATTATGATATACATGCTGTGTGTGGTCAACAGTCCTTGCTGGTTGACTACAGCTTTCCATGTCATTAAATACTTTCTCCTGTGTGATGTACATAAAACTATAGATATCACCTAATTTATTTAACCAATTCCTTACCATTGACTATTAGGTTGTCTCCAACTTTTATTATTTTATGTAATATGGTAATGAGCATCTTTACAGCTAATTTTGAGGCTCTGTAAATTGTAAGAAATATAACCACTGCATTAAAGCCTATTTTGAAGGCTATATCAAGAGGTCAAATGACCTTCAATAAGTGTCCATAAATTCATCCCCCTTCCACTCTCCAGAGTCCTTTGCTCCACCCATTAGAATTTCACCTCCATTTTGGTTTCTTAATAAAGTATAAGGCAGATGCTCTTTTATAGGAAAAGAATGTTGCTTACAAGAGAAGCATAAATTTCCTTTAATCTGTTTAATAATATTGCACTGAAGGCATCTACAAGTTTCAGCAAGTCATTCTACATGTGGAACCTGAAAATCCTGCCTGATGATACTAGCTTAATACAAGAGACCTGTTGAACAAGCACCTACAGAAAAATCAACTCTTTCAGAATGATCTATATATTGGCTGATCATTTGGTCAGACCTATCTCAGCGCTGAAGAATGTTCTTGTTTGGATCCAGTCAATTTTTAAATTGCACTTTTGGTTTTACAAAGGACATTTCTGAAGCTCACACATTGTCTTTTTTGGTTTACTCACACCAGAATGGCTTATTATCCTGGCATCCCTCCTGGCCTTGGCTTTGATTCTTGCAGTTTGTGTTGCTGTCAACAGTCGGAGAAGGTAAGGGAGTGCCCCTTGGGGCCTTCAACTTTGAAGGGCATCGCGTAAACTTAGGCCTGCTATTCTTGGTGCTCAGAGTGTTAGAAATGCAGTCTCAGACCTAACCCTGGACTCTCTGTATCAGTCTGCACTTTAACAAGAGCCCAGGGTTTCATCTGTGTGGTGTAGTTTACAAAACCCTTTTCTGTCCCGTTCTTTAGAAACAGGTGATTATTTAGACCTCTACCACAGCTAAAAAAAAAACCCATTTGCTTAATATATATTTATTTTACCATTTAAGCTAAGGCATTTATGAAAAACAAGAACATAAAAAATATCATCATGCCCCTAGCTTGGCTAGATCACAAATGTATTCTGGATATGTTGCTTTAGTCTACCAAGGAAAGCATTTTCAGAAGAAAATAGTTTTTTAGAACCCTACTTTTAAGTAGTAGTTAAACATTATGGTTCTTAATTTCTTCAGTTAAACCCCTGTGAGACTCTATCTGTTAAAATTTATGAATATGGTATCTAGAAGGCATATAAATACATACTCATTCATTGATTCATTAAGCAAATATGCATTAAGTGCTTTCATGACTCACAAAATGTTGTATAAAGGGGATTGGTCATCCCTTTTAGCCTGAGGCCCATGGAACCTTCCAGAACCACTACCCAAAGCAGGCATTGGTTTTGTCTGTTTTTTGTAATTACATTATTTTCTGTTTGCTGGAAGCTGCAATTGAAAGGATTCATGTTATAGCCTAAGAAAACTCCTTAACAGTGTGGTCTGTAGAATGATGATAAACTTTCTGTAGGAAAGTGAATAAAGACAGTCAGCTCCTTAGGACTAGCAACTGTTTCCATATCCTGAAAGGCCCTTCTCTCTCCCTACTTCAACCAAGGCTTAGTGTTTTGAAAGTTATTTGTGCCATGCATATGCCTGGTTGAGCCATGAGTAGGCTCCAGAAATAATGCTACCTAAAGTAAACAGAAGACAAAGAATTATTCTAGCAATGGAAGAAATGAACTTTGACAATGGTATTCCAAAAGTATATCTAAATTTCCTACCCCAGACACTAGGAAATTCATCATTTTTCCCTGAATATATCCATAGGATCATTAAAAGTTTTGCAAATGTCCTTTGAGACTGTTTCTTAAAAGGTCAGAGTCTTATTTCCAAGTGAGGCTACCTGTAGTGTAGGCCAGAAAATGCCCCTCAGTTTGGGAGAAGACTTTGCTGCTGGCTTTTGGAAAGCAACAACTAATTCTGTTGCTGAGCACAGTCTTTGCAGTCTCTCTAATTATCTGAAAAAAAAAATCAAACAAAGCTGTTTCTACTCTGGTCCAAATTAATAGAAGTGCTATATTAAATTCAAATAGCTGTGTTACTATCTATACCTACGAGTGCATAATGAAAGCTGATCACATAAGAAACAAAAACGAGGGGAAAAAAAGTCTGAAAGACCTCTTATGGATTCTTTTGGCTAAATGGAAAAAGACTTTTTTTAAGTTGAATTTAAGTAATGTGACTTGAGGAAGTCTTACAAAGAGTCTTTATACTTCCCTTCAGCTTCCTTGTTTTCCTTTGGATTATTTTTCCTCAATTAAATATGAATTTCCTATTGTTTGAAATCAGTACTTCATTCCAGGCCCTGGAATGTATCAGTTCTGCTCATATGGACACTTCATAGGCTTCACATATGTTACCATGGAAACACTGGCCTGATGTTGTTGATGTGGGGAGCCTTCTGACAAGCATCTCAGCTGTCCCCAAGAGCAGCTGGAGTCTGTACATTGTGGCTGCTTAACTCCCATGTCACTCCCTGTCTTGTCAGCAGCAGAGAAGGGACCTCATGGCCTCCCTCCTTCTCCTCCCAAGATCAGCAGTCACCCTAGCAACAGGCAAACAGGGACAGGCAGTATCCAGCACAGGGAGTATCTCACTGGGAAAGTAGCTGCTTGGATGCCATAAATTACTGTGTCCTGATTTGATAATTGAAAGCAGATTTGCCACGCAGCTAAAGGGTGGTTAAGAATTATGCAGTCCCCTAATGTGTACTATGTTCCTAATTCTGACAGCCCATTTCTAAACCTTTTATAAGGCGGGGCCTTTTTACTTTGAGCCTTACATTTAAGAAAGATTCAGAATCCCATTTTCATCAAAGAAAGTTTGGTTAGAAATGGGACCTCCAAAACGGTATCCATTTATACAGCAAACATCTTTTGCATCGCTCCCTTGACTATTAGCATTAGCACTGATAGGGAAGAAGAGAAAAAATGCGAAGAGCATGTCCCTTCCCTAAAAGAATCTTGAGGATTAGTGGCAGTCTAGGCCTGCTAAATTCCTTCCAGCCAGCCACTGTTTATTGAGCACGTCCTCAGTACCCACATTGCTCTAGAAATTATGGTGAAAAGAACAAAAGTGGAAAAGTGTCAGTCACTGATGTTGATGTGCAGGATTGACCCAGGGCTTCCTTGACAAAGTGCACTGCAAGTCACAGCAACTTAAAAATGCTCATGGGGTAGGGAGTGGTTCCATGATTTCTTCAGCTTTTCCTACTTCTGCCACACCCATGACAGCTTTCCTTGGTGCTCTTCATGAAGCCAAACTCCTTGAATTATAGCTGCTCCATGCCAACTGTACTTAATTCACTCTCTTTAAGAGAAAATTGTCTTAGGAGTCAATTGGATTGGTAGATACTGGAGGAGGCCCAAGAGAAGCAGCCTTTAGATGCCTTCCCCTTGAATTTATCTGATGTGTCTTTTTTCTGTGAGAAAAAGACACAGGGACCTTTTCAAAGAAGTCTTCAGAGCACAGAAAAGATTAAAGGATGGTTCTGTGCTGACTGTGCAGAACAGGCCTCCCCAGCCCTACCTTTGATGGGAATCCTCCTACTTCCTGTAAACACAGAGGAAGGTCATGCACCCTCTGCTTGGTAGGTCCCCTCTATAAATCTCCATGACTTAGTGATGTCTTTCTTCTCTTATGTGACAGTCCAGCTCACTGTAATCTGTGCTCACTTGACCTGGTTCTACCCTCTACAATAGCTCCATCCATTATACTTCCTTTCTCGAAGGCCATGTTCCATACCCATACTGTCCATTTTGGAGTTGTTAACCACTTGAGGTTCCAGAGCACTCAAAGTGTGGTTCATTCCACTAAAGAAGTGATTTTTTAATTCTACTGATATTAGTTTAAATTTAAGTAGCCACATGTTGGCTATTTAATTTAGCTACTATGTTGGATGGCACAACTCTAAAACACTGCAAAATGAATCCCTAAATATCTTTAAGGATTTTGAGGTAGAAGAGACAGGAAATAGGTTAAGTTTCTTGCCTATGACTTTTAAAATAAATCCCACCATCCTATGAAACTGTGTTATCTGGATTCCAACCCCATATGACCTGTCCACCCTCTCCTGTAGAGGCCCTGGTCTAGTTCTTTCCACACTGTGTGCTCAGTGTGGTTTACATCAGGCTCATCTGATGCCTGAGGTTAAGGGAAGAGGAAAAAAGGTAGGGCATGGATCAGTGAGGATCTCTGGTCTCTGGATCAGAAAATCTAAGTAGTGATTCTAGTGGTGCCATAACTAGAAGTGTGATTTTGGACCCTGCCCTTCACTGCTTGGGCTTAGTGTGTAGCTTACAAAATGAAGGAGTTGAGCTGGATGATGTCAGAAGCCCCATTAATTCTAATATTTGTTCATTCCTATAGCTAAGAAAAATGAAAAAAATGGAAACTTTTCTTTTAAAAGTACTTAATGCCTACAGCACTCAATATTAGACTGAGTTATTTATGAGCATCATCCTACCCACCTGAAAGAAGTCAGGCAGACAACAGAGACATAAATCCAATGGGAAATGAGGCACCCTAAAGGTCAACCACAATACTCCTCATTCTACAGGTCCAGCATTACCCACTTTCAAAATAAGCTTCATTTAGAGTACAGCATCCGTCCCCACCCCTCGTACATGCACTGACATATGCTTCTGCTTACAAAGCATTTTCACACAATCTTGCATTCCACCTCTCAACCACCCAGTGGGTAGGCAAATAGGAATTACTTTAATTGGGCAATTCTCCTCCAAAAAATACAGGTAAACCTGAGAATTTGAAATAATATAAGCAGCTTTCTACCTTTGGCCTTTTCAGTCCTTTTCTGGTACATAGAACAAGGTAGGTGGAGACAGACAGAAGAAACCAGTAAAGTCAAGGTCCTATGATTCTCATTTTGTTAGCAGTTGCAGCCAGCAAGTACTCCAATGCTTATTGCATTCTAGATACTATTCTAAGTCCATATCCAAGGACTTAGTTCCCCTAACCCACATTATTCATGAAAGCAACAAAGAATATCAATAACAGATTCATTTATTGAGTTCCAACCTCTGTTTCAAGGGCTTTTCAGTATCTCATGAGACTGGTATTCTTAATAACCTGGTTTTGCAAGTACAAAAACAGAGGCTTAGAGAAGTTAAGTGAATTGCCCTAGGTCACGCAGCCTTAAGGTCTCAGAGACAAACCTTCCAAGGCCCTGCTCTTGACCATGCACCCTGCTGTCAATGTGGACTTCTCCTGTGTTCCTAGCCTCAAAATTTGCTCCACAATTAAGGCATCTTCCTCCCACCTTTCCCCAAACCTATGCCAGAGGATACAGGATCTACCTCCTGTTGAGGCAGTGTAATTTCTATTTCTCTGAAGAAGAGATTAAAGTTTATGGATTTGGCAGTCCTACATGAAATGGCCCATGATCACAAATAATAGAGGCTTTATCTTCATGACTTCAAATATCCAGTGACACAGAGAACAATTCCGACTTCATACTGTTTCCAGACCTTCAGATGGTGGGCAGCAGTAATAGACAGGCAGAGCCTGAGATTTTGAATATTGACTGTTATTCTTACACTTACTTCAAGCAAGCTATTAAATTTCTCTGGGCCTCGGTTTCCACTGCTGTAAAATGTCTAATTGTAAGGATTATAGGAAACTATGCACAAAGTGTGTGGAATTCAAGAAGTGTTTAATAAATGCTGGTCCATTTCCCTCTTTTGCTCATTTGTAGTTGTGAAGTTGTGTGACTTTGCTTCCATTAAGCATAATGTAACTGCTGTATATGCAGCAGAGATCATGTCGTAGGAAACAAGAAGCATTGCATCAGGCTGAGAGGGGTGATGCAATACTATCACAATATTCAAGGACAAGATCAAAGTCCTGCTTTTCCATGAAAGACCTTCTGCATTTGAATCTTAAGCAATGTTACTGGAAAACCTTAAAGTAGCAGTGAATAGCAGGTCTTATGTTGTTAAACCTTCTATATCCAGAGCCAAATGAAAGTTAACCAATGTTGGGGAAAGATCAATATGGCCTTATACTTGTAGAACAATGTTGTTTTATTCTTTTCTGTACCTGCAGTGATAATGCTGACAAAGCCAACACAGTGTTGACTGGGAGAGGAAGTAGTGTGGACTTTCTTGAATACACAGATCAGAATGATTTACAGTCATCATGTTGATGGTTTATCTCAGCATGCAGGAACTGCTCAAGTGCTTTTAAGAGGCAAACATTTCCACTGGGCACTGTTAGGGAAAAGAGATTTAGAGCTTGGGAGTCCACACAGACCAGGGTTTAGATTCTGACTCTTTTATTGCTTGTTGAGTAACTTGGGAAAGTTATTGAGTTTTCAGGAACACCCCTCCCCCCAAAAAATCAAGGTCTCTTCACCTGTAAGGCAGGGATAACAATAGCATTGGATTCCCACAGTTGTGCTCCCTGATTCTCAAACTTGACTGCATCAGAAGCCTGCTAAGGGCTTGTTAAACCTCAGATCCTGTGCCCCACCTCTAGAGTTTCTGATTCAGTAGGTCTGGGATGAGGCTGAGAATCTGCATTTCTAACAAGTTCCTAGATGGTGCTTTTGCTGCTGGTCCTGGGACTTCACTTTGAGAAGTGCTGGTGGTTAAGAGTCAGTAGGATTTGAAAGTAGAGAAGGTACCCAACTTAAAATGCTTGGCACATTTTAAGAACCTCATAAATCATAGTGATTATCACATTGACAACACAGTGATGATCCTGATGATGATGATTGAGTCACTGTATCCTTTCTCATATGATGTGTTTAAAAACTACTAGGTGTGGGCAGAAGAAAAAGCTGGTGATCAACAATGGCAATGGGACGGTGGAGGACAGAAAGCCAAGTGGACTCAACGGAGAGGCCAGCAAGTCTCAGGAAATGGTGCATTTGGTGAACAAGGAGTCATCAGAGACCCCAGACCAGTTTATGACAGCCGATGAGACACGGAACCTGCAGAATGTGGACATGAAGATTGGGGTGTAACATCTATGCCATCCTCTTGGAAAGAAAACACAGTTGGAGACACAACCATTACAGGGAACTGGGACACTTCACATGCAATGTGCTACTGATTGTTTTATTGGGGATCTCTTTTTTTTAGCATAAAATTTTCTACTCCTTTTGGGTTTTGTGTGTGTGTGTGTGTGTGTGTGTGTGTGTTTTGTTTTTTAAAGGCAGGTCCAATTTACTATAAACAGCCTTGCTTTCTGAACTGAGGGCCCAAAGAATAATCCACAAGAATTTAACTGTTCCAGTTCCCACCCAGAGGCCTTGCATCTCCTGGGTTACACTATGGATGACTTCTAACAAATGCCATAAATACATGTTTCTGATCCCCAACCTGCTCCACATCCTACCTCCCAGGTAACAGCCACCAGCTTAGAACATTCCCCAAAGCTACGAGGGATTGGTTTCTGGGAGGAAATTTCAATGGGTACATATTGCCTCCCCAGCAGTCCAATCCCTGGGCATTGCTTTCCAGTGGGGTGGGGGATCAGAGTTGGTTACACGCCCCCTTTCAAAGATCCCCCCTGGAACTTTTCAAATGCTTCTAGGAGACACCCAAAGGGTGAAGCTATTTATCTGTAGTAAGCTATTTATCTGTGTTTTTTGAAATATTAAGCCCTGGAGGTCCTTTGAGAAATATGATTTTTTTTTTTAGGTTACTGTGTCAGAGGCATAAAAGGATGTATCCCGATTCAAAATAAACATCTGTATATCTTCCATTGTAACCCTTTGTGCTGTAATCCTTCAGTTTCTAAGCCAGCAAGGTCTAGTCTCCATAACTCATCAAGATAATTTGAAAATGGGCCTCCTTAAACTCATGTCAGAGCCCCTGTTCCCCACTCAGGCTCATTTGGCCAAATCTCATAAAGGTAAGGGAAGGTCACACTATTTTATTTCTGAGACTGCTCAAAGGGTTTCTCTCCTATTCTCCTGTTGTGAATGGAAGAGCTTCAGTTACTTTTGTGTTTTAGTGGCCACCTTTCTGTCTCCTGAAGGACTTTGAAAAGTCACATTAAAATTGCATGAACTCTACCATTTGTGGGTTCCATTTCATAGACATTAACCCTGCTAATGATTTCCAAACATGATGTGGAAATGCCTTTTGACATCTTATAGTCTGGAGAACCCAAAAGAAATGAAAGAATATAGTCAGTGACCAACCGATTGGCACAGGTTAGTGAGGGGGATGCAGTGCGGATCCCGTTTCCACTTTACCAGGCTAGTTGTCTGCTTCAGTATAGTTGCTACTCATAATGAGTTGTCTGAGTTACATGAGTCCTGAGGTTACAGGACTTCCCACTCTTGTAATCTATCACCAAATAAGCACCTTTGTGGCTAAACAAGAGAATAATGGTTTTATCCTCTGACCTCATACTTTTCCCCACTTGGCAAGCCGTTGGTGGCACCTATTCATTAGTCAGGATGTTCTATTGGTCCTGGAACTTCTACAGGCTACTTAGAAGAGAAGAGCTAGGTTCTATAAAATAAGGATTCTTATAAAATGAGACCTCCTTTCTTAGGCTTCCAGAAAAGTCATTTGTTGCTTAAACTAATGTGATTAATATTTCTCAGATTGAAAAAAAAACAGAAAGAAGAAAAGCTCTCCCACCTAATTTAGGTCTAGGTAGATCTGAAGGCTCTCTCCTTTAAGGAGATACAAAATGTTCCACACTCCTCAACCTCTGCTCTTCTTAACCACCATATGTCCTCTCTCCCTCTACTGCCCACCTCTCCACACCTGCCATGATCTTTAAAAATCCTTTCTTTTTCTGTGAATGCTAATGGTCAGTTCCATATTCAGCTGCCTAGTTTTTCTTTTTCTTTACAAGTTGAAAGAAGATGAATGTCAGGTACTCTGTTGTTTTTGCCATCGGTATTTGAAATAATCCTTCTAAGGTCTTAACCTGAGAGACCAAGTCCAAGAGGGCTATATCAGGCTCTACCTGACCCCCTAGATTCATTCTTTGGGGCACATGGACAGTCATGAAAGTCTCACAGCTATGGGTGATTTCCCACCATTCTTGACAGCCCCAAAAATTAGCTTGGGGTAGGAGATTATGTTCAACAATTTGATTATGTGTCAGGTCTTACCAGTGACTTGCCAGATGACCTAGGCTAAGTTATTAAACTGCGTCATACTTATAAAAGTTATAGGTAGGCATCTAATTATTTTTCAAAGCAACCCAAGAGCTTAACATGTCATTTTCCCAGAAAATGCAAATCTTACGTGTATCTTGAGGGCTTTCCTTAAATTAGCTCTGTGTTAAAAATCATATAAGGTAAAAGGCACCTTCAAAGATATTTTATAGATTCTACGCCGATGAAATGGATGTTTCCAGCAGAACCTTTCAGAAAGTTTTATATGGTGCCAAGAACAAGAATAGCAAAGTCCATTCACTTTTATGTCATATTTTTTCTAAGTACTCTGTGTTGGCTTTTCAAAGAATAGTCAATTGTTCATGTATGTATAATGACCATTGCTATGGCTACTTTGAATTTTCAGAACCGCCCCCCTTTGGTTTTTGTGTATTTATTAAGGGACCAATAATAATGAAGAAAGCATGATTTGTATATTGCCCAGTTGAAATCACTTATTGGAAAATATTAAAAGACTAACATTAAAAGTCTGAAGGAAATGGACTCAGGAGTCTCTACTTTATGGGGGCTTGGAGGTGGTAAGGGCGGAATGACGAGTAGCTGGATGTCAGGATACTATCAAAGCATGCTGTTGAAGGTTTCGGAGGTAGCTGGAGCCTCATACTCATTTTCTCTAAAAGGAAGAACTACATAGGTTTCTTTCGCTTAAAGATCTTGTTTCAGAAAAAGTTCAATTTTTCCATAGGAGGTGTGTGGTCCATGGTGTCTCACATAAACTAAGTGAGCTACTATGATGTGTTAACACCTTAAAAGCCCAGAACTCTCCTGGACCCCCAGTTAAAGAGAAGGTAGTGAAGGTAGTCACCTCCATTCCCTCATGCAGGCCCCCAAAAAGAAAATGAAGAGATGTTCTCAGAAGGAATAAATCAATTGGGTTGAAGAGACCTGAACAAGAGACAACAGTAACAAAAAAAAAATCGAAGCTGAAATATGATGGTTAATTGGTCACCAATTGAGAACAGTTGGAAGAGTTAAACCCTAAACCAGGAATGGAGAAGTTGAGAAACGATCAAATTTATGTGTCAGAATCTCTCAAAGGCTCAGGAATTGAGGCAGAGCTAGGATGAGGAAAGGAGGTTTAAAGTCTGTTTAGGAAGTATTCAGCACCTCAGGTTCCTTCCCCACTCCATGTAGCCAAGTACTGTCCCTTCCTGGTCCCCACAGAATATGAGAAGTATATTCCCTAGAGAGGGCAAAATAGAGAGTCTCTGGCTCAAGGGCAACAAGATACACACAGTTGACATTAGAAATTCTGTGCCTAAAAGAATGAGACCATAAATAAGGAAATGTTGAGGCTCCCTGGCCTTCTCCCTCAACTTGGGTCCCAGAATGCTGGCATCCAGGCCTGGGCCCATCAGGCACAAGTTCAGTCTTTTGGGGGATTTTAAAGGCCTGAGAAAAAACCCTAAAGATATTATCATGGTATGCCCCAAGGAAATGGACAACGAATTTACAGTGAAGATCAGATTTTAAGCCCCACCAGGCACACAGGACTCTTGATGGCTCTCTGTTGTTCACTCTACAGAGTGAGAGCTTGGGGCCCCAGGCACTTGCAGAAGTTACTCAATATCAATGACAGGAACTAAAGCAAATGAGAAAAAGCAACTTGTAAGAGATAGAAATAATTTATGGAGAAGACACTTAAAAAAAAAAGAGCCTTTATTAGCCTCAGCAAGGTGAGATAGTATATAAAGCAAGAACACAATGCACAAAAGAAGGACCATCCAGAGAATACCTTAAAATAGAGCTTTTTAAAGTTTAAACATGAAAGTAGTTCGTAAAATAAACTCAACAGAAGGTTTGTCAGGTAAAGTTGAAGAAATGCCCCTGTAAAACAGCAACTACAAAGAAATGGGAGCAAAAAGAAACACATTAGAAAGATCGAGACCTATTCCAGGAAATCTAACAAGCAAATAATAGGAGATATAGAGAAAATGGAAAGGAAGAAATCATTCAAGAAATAAATGAAGAAAATTTCCCAGATTTTAAGAAAATGACTATGTTGACTAGGACCAAGAAAGTGCTCAGTAGGATAAACAAGAGCAGAACTACACAAGGTCACATTGTCTTAAAAATTCATAACACTGGGAGCAAAGAGATGATCCTCTAAGTTTCTAGAAAGGAAAAAAAAATGGGCGTCATATCTGATCAAGAATCAGAATGCGGAGTAGGTGTAGTTGTACATATCTACAACCTCAGCACTCGGGAGGCAGAAGCAGGAAAATGATCATGAGTTTGAGGCTAGCCCTAGGCTGTAATAGTGAGATTCTATTTAAAAAAAAAAAAGAGAGAGAATCAGAATATAATGGGCCTTCTCAACAGTCACATTGGAAGAGAGAAGGCCATGAAACAATGCCTTAAAAAATGTGAGGGGATTGGTTCCAGCCTAGAACTCTAATTCAGTTAAACCACAAATTAAGGATAAGGATAGCATGCAGACATTTCAGATATGCATAGTCTCCAAGACCATTTGCCCATTTTCAGACAACTCTCTTATTTTGTACTGCACCAAAATAAGGAGTTACCAAGAAAGGGGAAGACATGGGTTTCAGAAAACAGATTAAAGGAAATTCCTAAAATGTTAAAGGGAGATCCCAAGAAGACAACTGTCTAATAGGTCTAGGGAACAATCAGTCCAAATTGGAGAACTGATTAATAATTAAAGTTTTCCTTTATTAACCTCACTAAAAAAGAAATTTACTTTGGAGTTGGACCAGTTGCTGATTGATACATTAATCAAACTGATCACCTAGAAGTCGCCTGATCTACAATGGCTTCATCTTGGATGCCTGGATCTTGTTTCCATATGTTTCTCACATGCTTCCAGTTTGTTTGTCTATATCTGGCAGGGATCCAAGGGATGCTGATGCTCACACAACTTCTGGAAACCTAAGCTCAGAACTAGTTCTCAGTTATTCCTCATATTTTATTGGCCAAAGCCAGTCCAAGAGAAGCC